ATACTTACTAGATTCCCCAAACATTCAGCTTTCATATGCATATATTGGATTTATTCTATGTATTATAGTATTCGAGAAAATCAATGAAATGTAATAACACTGCTTTTTCGAACATTTTTTAAACTTTGAACACGAATTACAGCCAAACGGCTAAAACTACAATAATATATCGATACTTGCTAGATTCCCCAAACATTCAGCTTTCATATGCATATATTGGATTCATTCTATCTATTATAGTTTTCGAGTAATCAATGAATTGTAAAAACACTGCTTTTTCGAGCATTTTTAAACTTTGAACACGAATTACACGAATATTCATATTTTTGGAAAAATTTGAGTTTGTGTTTCAATGCTGTTTAACTAAGTCTAGATACAGTATAACATGAACATTAAGAGTTACAAAACAAGGTAGGTATTGATTAAAGCAACAGGTTGATCCGTTTTCTACAATGACTTAGCATATATGTTAGTATATTAATTAATAATTACTACATTATAAACATTCTCATGTAAAACAAAATTCAGACTCATTTTCAGACTTAATTAAAAAAAGAAAAACAATATATAAAAAAAATATTGAACTTGAGTCTTCGTACTAAGAGAAGTGATTTTCTGATTCACATATATTCATATATAAAATGTTATTTAATTAATTAGACTCTAATGAAAACGATAATTTCAATTCTGTTCTCATACATTATCGACTATTAAAATACTTTATTCGATTATCGTAAAATAAAGTTTCTATTTAGCTTATCTTCGACAATATTCACATTTTTTTGAAATTTTTGAGTTTGAGCTTCGACGCTGTTTAACTAAGTCTAGTAACAGGATAACATGAACTGTAAGAGGTGTAGAACAAAGTGTATATTGATTAAAGCAACAGGTAGATATGTCCTACTGTGATATAATCATACTAAATATACTCATATAATAATGGCTGTAGCAAACAAGATTGTTATTTCAGTAGAAAGGGCTCAAATCTTGTCCTCAACCTTCTTTGTAAATATTTCCAATTTAAATAGTTGTATCTGTTTTTTAAATTTGCATTAAATATTGAAAAAAATGAAAACGTAGTAATCATACATTGCTGTAATTTCATTTTAGCATGTGTCCAGGTGACAGATAGGAAACAATTGATGAACCCAAAAATATGTAGTACGTAGTACCTCTCTCTGTGTATTCCTGTTGTCCGAGTACGAAAAAGTGATCAGCAACAGTTGTCAACAAATATTAAGCAATTGTTTTGGATTTAATTCAATAAAGCAAATCCACTGCATTATTATTTATTTATAAAATTGCCATTTGACATCAAGTTTCCAAAATATTACAAAATTTCACAAAAAAATATTGCAGTCGCATAAGAAATGCTCCAAAAATAAGTCTACTCCAATTTACATTACATATATTCACAGTTCATTATTTGATGGATTTAAAGCAATTAAAGGACAAATGAATCATTAATACAAAAAATACTATTTATTGATAAGCTTTCTCGATTATTTACATCTATTTAAATCTATACAATACAATCAAGTATATAAAAATGATAAATGCATGTATAACTTTGCTAGTAAAATTAGCAATTAGCAAAAAAAAAAATAATTAAAACTTATCGATATGCATTAATTTTATTAAATTCTGTATTACAATTAGAACAAAATAATAATAAATAATGGAAAGTCATGTGCATGGTTGTATAGATTTAATTGGAGAAAATAATATAAAAGTAAACTTCTCTCGTGTAAGACGAACATAAAAAAAAATCTATGAATAATCGTTACAACTAACATCATTGTCATACATACTCGGCTGAACAAAATATAATTTAAATTAAACTCATCGTAATACTAAATAAAATGTACACATTTGAAGTTCCTAACATTCACTATTCTGATTGGTTATATAAAGAAATCGTATTGTCAGTGGTGATCGTAACAAAAACTATCAAATGTGGATGGGTGTCCATTACATTGGCAGTGATTGCTGGGGGTATATTATGTACACTTATATATTTTTTTTTCGTTGTCAGCTTCGATGTAGCTGCAAATACTGAATATATTTGAAATTTGGAATTGCATTTGTTTTCATAGAATCGATTATAATTATTTGTTCCGTGCATTATATAATAAATATTGAAATTATAACAAATACCAAATATTCAGGAAAGAAATCAACTGCCATCAATTACAAACATACGTGTATGTATATATTTAGAGAGAAAACAAAATACTAAATCTAATACTTAATGAATGTTTTTACAAATAAAAAAAATTCTTCGCAAAAAAAAAATATATAATATACGACACGAACCAACTAATATTGTTAATTATAATAATAAGAAATGTTTCGCTTCCCTTCCTATAATTAATTAAATTGATAATCCTTACTTATCTATTTTGGAAAAGAGATCGTTTAATTTATTCAGCTGCGTGCATGGATTAAAAAATAAAATAAAATATCCGTATTAACAAAACAAAAAATGGAATGTTCAGCTTACAATTATTCGTCTGTTTTCGTGTACTTATCTTCCCTTCAAATTGTTAAAATATGTTATAATAATATATCTATTAAACCTAGGTACGAAGAAACACAAGAATTGAACTGTATTTAGTGTGTATATATATATATAATATTCATATAATTTTTTTACTTTTAGGAAGCCGATTTCATCACAATTGACTTATATATAAAGTTATTAAAAAATAAAGTGAATTGTAAAAATATGATATCTTTTCATTTAGTTTTGTTTTTGCTTTTCATATCACTATTAGGTGTCAAGAGCACTTTTGTTGAAGGAATGTATCCTCTTCATGTTGATTCTGTACTAATGTATCCCATATATAATATAGTTTTTAAACGCGTTCTCAGTCTATCAAAAAACCATATTTACATGTCAGTCATGAGGCTACTGCTCTTTGGTTATGATGATTAAGTACTGATCGTTTTGATTCAATTTCGCCATGTATTAGTATCGTTTTCTATTGTCTTTAACACCAGGATTCCTCGGTGCCATCCTGGCTGTCGACATCGCTGGGATCCTCGCCGTACATGTCAGCCAATTTCCGGAATCGCGGACCGAAGCTTGACAAGTAATTGAATTTCAAGTCACCATCGTCAGTGCCTGCAAACATATATTACGTTAAAATAAGTCGAGAACTACTTAATTATCGATGAAGACAACAATACTTACATGAAGCTAATGAAGATAATGAACCGGTGCTGTTGCCGTCTCCTTCATAGGCGTAATAACGTACATCGTCGAAGGGATAGCTATTGGCATCTCTGTCGCAATTAACTTTCTTATGATCGAGGAATCCACTGATATCAGGAAGTGCTTCCTGTGATTTCTCGGTGATTGGGTAGTCAGCTTGATAATCTTTGACGCGCCTGAGTACCGACAAATCGAAACCGGTATCGCCTTCGCCGCCACCCTCATCTTCGTAACTGATAATCGTCTCACGAATATCATCGATATCCTTACCTCCCCAATGGTCCTGTTTGCGTCTGTGTACAACGACAGCTAAGAATAAAACTGAAAAAAAGCAGAAATCAATTAATACAAAATCTTACATTCCAGCGGCAAATAAATCCTTACCTGCTATTGTGCCTAAACAAAGTAAAATAACGAGCAAGAAGTTGGAATCAATTCCGAAGGATACAGCTCTGGCGACGCCGTAATTGCAGTTGGGGTTCGCGTTCCAACTATCACCGGGATTGCTCAAGTTGTATACGAAGTTGTTGAAAGTCAAGTTCCTGATGCACCCAGTGAAACCGACATTCGTGGGTCTGTATTCCCATTTCAGGTATTTACCCATAGCATCGATGTTCTTAATAAGACCTCCGATTTGCAGCGGTCCGTTAACATTAAGTTTATTGTTGGGACCTATCGGTTCCTTCAATACTTGACAGCTACTCTGCTGGCAATCATCAACAGACAAGAGGATTTCTTTCTCGCGTAAAGAGATTTTTATGATGTGGCTGGCGCCATCATTTAGGTTCTTATGCCTTAAAATAACTTCGGTAGTGCCTGAGCCATAATCCAGCAACAGCACGGGGTAGCCATCTCGCAATTCAAGCGACATAAAGTCTCTGTTGTATGGGAAAGGATTGTATACCATGGGACCCGCATAGAAAATCAATCCGTTTTCGTTTTGAGGTGCAATTTCCAAACGAATATCCGGATACATGCAGGTCTCGAATTTGTGATAGGTGGCCCAGCCATTACCCATGAATCCGATACCAAGCATTTCGCAACCCTCGCAGGGTTCTGGTTGCGTCAGACTGCAATGGCAATCTGCCGTGACTATCGCGTTTACTCCTACGAAAGACGTTTGGTTCGTCATAACCACAGCAGGCATATCACCAATATTTAATTCATTAGTACAAGAATCTGTGCATACGTCCTCCTGCATACACGCATCAATACTAATCATATCAAACTTAACTTTCAATGTACTTTCGAGATGTTCCTGATGTAAGCTTATTTTCGAATTAAGCTTTTCAGGAGAATAATAGGGAGAACCATGAGCTGAGAAACGCACATCTATTAAAGAAACATTGGACGGACTCTTCAGTACCGTAAGTACATCCACATTATCAATTGAAGAAGTATTTAGTACTTTGTGCAAATGATTTTGCAGCATATCGCGCTTGCTCAAATTGTTATTTGATTTCCCCACAAAATCCTCAATACTAGTTCCACTCAACCTCACTGATCCCGATTTCTTCACCGCTACTTCCGGGATGCTCTTTACTGTTATAGTTACGGTTGCATATACCTGATGCTTCGGAATTAGAGGCAGGTGTTCTTCAGTCACTATGAACTTTAGTCTATATTCACCATCCTGCGTTCCACTCTTCATTATAATACTTCCATTGTCAGAATTTAGCATAAAGTTTTCATTTTGCTTATCCCAGGTGAAAACCTTATCATTCAAATCCCAATCATCTGGATCGTCCACATAAACTCGACCAATTTCAATGTCTGGCCAATTGTAATTGTATACAAAGATGCTGCTTTCACCGTCCTTTGCTTCATTGTCATTTTCATCACCAATAATAACTCGAAGAATGCTAATTCCTGTTAGAGGTGGTATTCCACTATCAGTAATTTCTATTGGAATGTCATAAAATTTCTTCTCTTCTCTGTCAAAAACATCCTTGGCGTATAACTGATCATTTTCAATATAAAACTTTGACGTAATTAGTTCTCCAACGTTTGGTGATATATTGAATTTAAAAGGTGGTCCATTATCAGGACCATCGTAGTCATCTGCTTGTAGCTGCGTTATAACTTGATTCGCCAATCCATTCTCATACCACACCACTTCAGTAATATTCAAAAATGGGCGGTTGTCATTAATATCTTCAAGTATAATATAAATCTCTGCAGACTGTGACTTGGAGGTCAGGCTATCGTTATCATCGTAGGCAAGGATGTAAGCTTGTACAGCTGCAAATCCGAAAGGCTTGTCCCTATCCAATTTCTTAATCAATTTAACGCAGCCAGATTTATCAACTAGAAGGGTCCTCGTCATTTTTTCTTCTACTCTATAAACAATTTTTTGATCAGCATTACGATCTTTAATGTCTGGGTCGTAAGCTTTCAAGGTAATAATGCAATTCTCTGGAATACTCTCTTCTGCAATACTGATGTTTTTGTTATAAAACTCGAATACAGGCAATTCATCGTTGACGTTACTAATTTCAATATGAACATGGGTGGTGTCATTGAATACACCGTCTGAAGCGCGTATGGTAAGATTGTAATTTTCAATCTTTTCAAAATCCAATTCGGAAAATACCATTATTCTTCCCGTTGTGCTTTCAATATTGAACGCGTTGTTAATATTACCTTCGATAATTTCGTATTTAATAAGTGATGCTGTGTCCACGTCTACAGCTTTCACTTCGATCACAACCTTCCCGATGTCCGTGTTTTCAGGAATTCTTTGAGCAGTGTAAGGATCTTTAGTGAAAGTTGGTTTATTGTCATTACGATCTTCAATTGTAATACGGAACGTTTGCAGAGCAGAATTGTAAGGCTTTTTGGTTAAGGCACTAGGTGAATTGTCTCTAGCTTTTATGTTCACGTTATAAACGTTCTGCTTCTCCCTATCAAACGAGGTATTTGTAGTAACTTTACCGTTGTTTGGATCGATTTTAAACAATTCTGTGTGATCCACAAGCTCGTAGCTGACAATGTTGTTAGCTGATGTCCCATCTTTGTCGATGGCACGGACCTGCATCACTTCGGCATCTGGTAACTCGTTTTCTAACACACTTCCAGTAACCAATTCTATGAAAGCAGGGATTTCGTCGTTCACATCTAAGATCTTAATGTCAATTGTCCTCATCACCGACCAAGAATCTTGATTGGTACATCTAATAGTCAACTGATAATCAGTCACAGTTTCGTAATCCAATGCTCTACCAAGTTTAATGTAGGCATCAGTTCCATTTTGTTCGATGATGAAAGTATTATCTTTGTTTGTCTGAGTAGTCAGCCCTTTATCCAAGTCAAAGATGACATCTGGCTTCGCTATATTAGAACTGTGGAATATACAATAAAATTAATTAATGAAATTCAACATTTTTATATGGTATTATTATCTTACGTTGCTGAAAGTGTTACAATGGGATTCGTGTAATCGTGATAGTTCTCTTGGAGTTGAGTCGTGGTCAATGGGTACTTTGTAAATAGTGGAGGTTTCTTGTCAGCACCAACAACGTTTATTATAACGTTCGCTGTGGTTTCTTTTGCATCCAAAGGATTGATCGGATTGTCCTTCGCTAAAACGGTTGAAAAAAACTGTGTCTTCTTCTACAATAAAAACAAAAAATTAGTATACCAATAATGTATAGCTGTAAATAATCCTTACGTCACTTAAAGCCTTCCTCAAAGTAATAACCCCCGTATCGTTGGCCATGATGAAGTACTGGTCAAATTCATTGGCAGCTGACGTACCATCATTCTTAATACTGTATGTGATCTTGGCATTTACGCCATCGTCGATGTCATAAGCAATCACCCGCATCACCTCACGATCGATCGGCGTATCTTCAGCCACCTTCTGGTTGTAGTCATATTGATCAAATGTGGGTGCGTTGTCATTGATATCTTCTATGACCACCTTGAATGTACAGATGTCGGCAAGGATTGGCCTCCCATTGTCGGTTGCCTGGACGGTGATGTATATTTCCTTCAGTCTGGTAGGTTCATCGCGATCAAATTCACTGGCCAGATTCGTCGTAATCTCGCCTGTTTTATTGTTGATAGTAAAGTAGTTTCGATCTCCATCACGTTTTACAATCGCATAAGTTATTGTACCTCCGTTCTCTGGCGGATCGGAATCATTTGCGTGGACCTAGAACCAGAAGCTTAGTAACAATTTCCTTAAATACATCACCAGTTTCAACTCACTGTTATAACATGCAGTCCCCTTTCTTGCTCTTCCTTAATTGATGGATTGTAGGTAGAACAATCCGTAAAGATTGGTTTATGATTGTCGGTGTTATCGGTAGATACTCTTGCCACTTTTAATTTTCCAGTAAGGGAACTATCATTTTCCACGTTCGGAAAGTTCAGCGGCAACTCTGCAAAAATAATAAAAATATACGTTTTATTAGTAATCACGATAGTTTGTTTAACGCTATTTTTAACTCTTGAGGTGCAACTCATAAATTAGAACAGATTTACACGTTGCGAAAACGTAAATATTATTAAAGGAACGAAACTATTTTCAGTTTACGATTTATTTTACAAATAATTAATTTAAAATTATCTTCAGGAGCAATGATCCTACGTAATTAACGGATCTGTGGAAGAATTTCACACTTCTTGACTTTAGACCAATTTAAATCATTACAAGATCTATAACTTTTCGTATTCTGTTAGACCACTTGACAAGGGGATCGCCCTAAATAGTTTCTCAGGGTGTCTCATATTTCTTATTTTTTTTTTAACTTAAAATATATCTTTCAGGGTATCGGTTAAAAGCTTTATCATGGATTTCCCAGGCACTCTCTTATACCATATGGGAACACATAAAAAATATCCGTAATAAAAACAAAACGGGTATCAAACAATTAACGAAGAGCTAAAGATTTAATGTAATTAGTACATGAAAAGAAATCTTACATTCCAAAGGTTGTCAATACAAACACAATATCGCAATATTGATCACATGGAACTGCTTAAGTGTAATCCACAACCGCTGTTTTGTGGATTATGTAATCGGCGTTTGGGAAGCATTTGAATTAGTTGATTAAATTGTTTACAAAATTGAAATCAATTATTGTAAAATTCTCGCGGATGAACATCGCTGCAAATGCAAGGCCGTAATTAAACTATGACCCCGTGAATTTAAGGAATCATAATCAATTAATTCCCAAGCGAGAATCGTTTCGTAACTCCCTTCCTTATTTACCATCACTCATATTAGATTAGAACTAATTGGCAACTGAAATTATACTTTTGCGTTCAAGTCAATATCAATTCTAAAAACAAAGTATCTTCAATCTATAACTATTATTTTAATAAGACAGCAAGTTTTTAATACTTTTAATTTGGAGAGAAACATGTTTTTTGGAAAACTTGTTATTTTAATAGAAACCGTTTTCAAACTTAAGGAAGTATACATAAATCCTAAAGACCTAAAGGACGAATTTTATGGCGCCAGAAGTGAAATCTGTAAAGACGAAAGATATTATGAAAAAAAAAAGAAGCCCACCCACACTCTTCTCGGAATGTAATTTTCAAAGAGGCCGATATTGGTGTTTATGTACGTGATGTTCTTGATTTTCAGCTTGGATTTAAAAGAATATGCTATGGCAGCAAATGTTTGTTTGAAGATTACAACATTCAGATGTCTGAACCTTCAGAGGAGACGGATATCTTACTGAAGGTATTCAAGTAAATGGGAAAGTAATGAGCGTTCCGAGAAGAACTTTAAAAATAGTTTAGAAATGCAAAAGGGGTAATAATTTGAATAAGTTGCATGTGAGTCACTTCTGACCCCGGACAAGTTATGCGTGTGCTGGCGTGTGCAGTGTTGCAAAATCATCGCTGTTTCAGCGAATTCTTCTTCGGCTCCGGCGGCGGCCGCAATTATTTCATTGGCCAATAATGTGGGAAATGGACAAATGTCGCAAAATGGTGGAACGAAAAGGCGTTCTTCCACCGATGACAATTCTAACAGTAAACGAAAGAACGTCCTCCTCTGCACGCCTGACCAGTCCCCTCATAGTAAAACCAAATGGTCGGGCGGAGAAAGAGGAGAGGCTTCTCGGTAGAAGAACGACGGAGAAAGAGACGGTGCGTCGCATTGTTGAAAAACTTTTGTTAATACTCAAGATTACCAATGAATGCCGTCCGTTATGAGCCGCTCGCTCTCCCAGTATGTGTGTTACATACATACATAAAACAGCCCATTGAATTTATTACATTGAACCCACTAAAATGTGTCTCAACCTCGTGACTCAAGAGTTCAGGCTCATTCCGCCCCAACTTAAGCTCGCGACTTAAGTCACGGGTGGTTAACAACCCCATCTCTCGCCTTTTTACACGCTCGAATAAACTCTCACATTTTATATATGCATATATATATATATATCCATCATTCTTTTCCTTCTTTCCTAAGTCCCTTCCTCCTCCTTCACCGGTCATTATCATTCCAACTCTATTATTATAAACTACTTTACTGCTTTCATGGGAGCGGAACTCATGCATTACGACTCCCTTCTTCCCTCTATAGCGGGCAGAAGAATACAGCAAAAAGGGCCTAATCAAATTGGAATTGTGCTGCTTGCGCCCGGATAATCCAATCAAGTGACTCAGATGCTGTATCGATTTTATTTTTGTTGCAATGGGATAGTGTACAGTGCAGTTGGGAGGGGTCGAGCTGATTCATCCCTCTCACCCTTCGCTAGAAAGAAGTGATTTCATTCCGGATGAATCACGCACGTATGATTCTGCCAGAAAACGAGGCATTTTCTACCTGTAGAGGCAGGTGTGCTGCTGTTTCTTTTGGGACATTTCTTTTTTGTACTCTTATTTTGTAGGGGTCTAAATAATGTGAGCCCATCCGGCTGCTTGCCACCTGGCCTACGCAGGACCGTCCCAATGGTTTTCAAACAATTCGATGACCATACGGTTACTTATTACATTTGCAAGTTATTGAACTTCGAATTTTCATGAAAACTATTCTTAGATGCATACATCACAAGTGCATTTCTATATTTAGTTGAACATATTTTCTATATATTCCAGCTCTTCACATTTATATAATTTTTTAAACAAATCTTGCATGTACCATAACTCCATAATTTGTACTCAATTTCAGTGGACAATGCTATTATATCACTCGTAATTTACTTTATAATACAATCGATGCAATACATAGTTAATTTAAATGAGGTAGCAATAATTTTCCATTACAATGGTAGATTAGGGCCTGGGTATGTTCACCTTCCGTGAAATAGCTTAACTATCTGCAGTAACGCGGGCATAATTTTTTAATACAACCTTCAAATATATACTATTTCGGTAAAGTTGTTTCAAATCCATTCATCAAAGAAAGAAAAAATCATGAATCATTTGATAGTTTACTTTAAATACAGCATATTTTGAACTTAAACGGATCCTGATTGATTCATGAAACTGTAAATATAATCACAAGACCAATATTTAGAAATATGTAACTTCTGTAGATAATCCATACCATGATGATAAAAAAAAACCTACAAATTGCGAGGGATGGATGGAATTGTAAGTCCGGTCCTGATCCTTCGATCAATCCCCTTCGGGAACGGCGCCGTTTCTTATCACGTTTTATTTACAGCCGATAAGAATAGAAGCGAGAGGAATAGTAAACAATATTGCGAGCTGCACATAATAATTAAGCGCATTCTTCGGGCCGAAGAGTCTGCAACAGTTTATCTTAAATCTTACATCCTCCGATTGAAACTGTCTCTGCGACATAATTAATTCCTCGCATTCGTGGCTGAACGCAGCAAAGGATATGAAGTATATAGCAAGTATACTCGCTCCGCCCAACGGCGGTTACTCTGGGCTTACGTTACTGCTAGGAAGAACTTCAAGATGAAGAAGGAGAGTACAGGTGCTATTCTTAGAAGTTGCACTGAGCGAAATATAATCATCGAAAACTGTTTGTTACGAGCGAGGAAATGAGAAGGATAAAAATATGCGCACCGAGCGCGTTCTACTGTAACGAAATATTTTACTTTGAATATCCTCTCTTATTGCTCTTTCTTATGGAACTCTTGTAATTCCTTTTCTTTTCTTTACATTTACTTATCGTGTCCAGGCACCTTCATGAAAGAAAACAAACAAATAAATGTATTACTTCGTTACACTCCCACGAGTCCAAAAGGGAAACCAACTCCAGTTTTCAATGGCCACTTCGATTCACGGAATCGCGACTATTGTTACCAGGAATTGAAGAGACGGCGCCGTTATTGGAATGATAAGAATGCCGAACCGACGTCGGCCCAGTGTGAATCAGAAGAATGGTATGTGCTATATGCTAACGAAGCCTTCTTCTACTGCTCGGGTCCAATTATTATGCATTACGCAAGTCTCTGGAAATTGTCATTGCTTTATACAAGCGTCGTTTATCATGACTACCTAGGCACGTTATACCTCTGGTCTGGATGTAAGGCCCCCGTCGATCATTCAACCTACGCCACTGAATAATCTAATCTAATCATTGGGCAAACAAAACGTTCCTCAATATATCTCTGTTAAAATATCAATAATACACTATGTACGAAACATATTTCCCTGAAAATGTCCTTTCTCGAAGTAGCACGGTACATTTTAAATGCATTCCGCACGCACGCACGCGGATTAATACTCATTATGCTGACTGACAATTAAAAACATGAAACGTGTTCTGATCCTAGAAACGTGACCATCGTCTTCGTTAACAAAAAATAAGTTCTAGAAAGAACCTTGCTGCTGTAACAATTATTAAATTCGTGCGAATGAGATCATACAAGTACTTAGAACCGCTTATCTTTAGTGTCAGACACAATTACTCTCGCAAATAGGCCTAAGTTAATAATCATCTTCAACTGTGGATGTAATTCGAGGACAGTTGCTTTTCGGCAAATGTACATTTAACGTTCGAAATGTAAATATTTACTGATGTTTAAACGTTATTATCGCTTGCAGAGAGAGCACATTATATCTACCGTATATAAACCACGTAAGTCAACGTTACATAATAAATCATCGTAAAGCGAGAAGAAAACGGGCAGAGCAGAGTTCATTACATTATGGTTTTCCTTTTTTTTCTCATTTTCAAGCAATTTCCAAAGGCAAATATTTGTACATCAGATAACTGGAATTGGTTCATTCCCTGATGCTGTTTACTAAACGGACATTCGTTTATTTTCTGTCAAGAATACGTTTACCAAACCCGTCCGGCGCAATCAACGGCTTTTGTTTCTTTTCAAACAGGAAATGCCTAACCAAGATGTTTCTATGCACAGCAGGCCGCTGGTATTGATTACCAGTAGTTTGGGGGTATTGTTCTCTTTGTCCAAATAAGCTACTCAAGAAAATGAATTTCGCTCAATGAAAGAATGCAGTAACTTCCCCCAATCTGAGTCATCGGTGACTGAAGCAATTTATCTTTGCGTACAAAACAAATTGTTAACGCATAAAATAAATAATGTTTAGTAACAACAACTTTAGAATCTAAGATTTTAAATGATGACTAAATATCTAATACAAGCTGGAAAAACCGTAAGAGCACAATAGAAATTTCCAGGTAATGTTTTTTTTTAGTTAACTATATAATTTGTGACTCATGCACTAAGATTACCTGCGCTTTGAATGAGTTTCCAAAAATTAGAAAGTTCTTAACTTTAAAAGATGCTCACTAGTGAATCACCAAAATCTGCGGTGTTTAGGTAAACGAACTCTAAGGCAGGCGTGTTGCTTCTACAAGCAGCTTATTAATAATTAGCATACACCAGATGGTGAGAAAATTGTATCGGTAAATTGAGAAATGCAATTAACAAAAAAAAAAGAATATATAACTAATTTAACCGATGTTTAAAATACCGATATATTTAAAATTTAAATTATATTTGAAAAGAAACATTTTGTTAAAACAATATTATAAAATTAAACATTGCGAATTGCTAAATATTAAATCTAATACTTTGTAATCCCGTATTTAAGAGAATAGATGTGATTGAAAAAAGAAATCTGAAGTAATTGTCGGGATATGAAAATTAATTAGTACGGATAGGGGCATAATATAGTGTAAACTAAAAAGAAGTCTGAAGCCAGATTTTTTTTATGTTCTTTATGATGACTAAATAGAAGATGTAATTAAATCAGCATAACTTTAGAATTATGGTGGTGGCGTGAAAAAACACCATTAAAGCTTTATATCCCCTTGGGACGCAAGAAATAAAAAGAAAACAGTTGAAAATCCCACACATCAGTGTTTTTTTTGTATATAATTTGTGTCTTTCCTAGACATTAATAAATAAACATTCCGTTGAGGTAAACCATTCCACCCTAAGCGAGCACAAAGAGCTTCTCAATTCGGGTCAAGACGAAATGTTTAAACGAATATTAGTAATAGTCTGATAAAACCTTTGATAGATCTGATTCCATTAAGCAAATGCCCTAGTTCTAAAATGTTTAAATAATATCGATCAGATAAAGGCAAGCCTATTGTTCGGATCATTTCTGTTCTTATTATAAGTAGTTTCGTAATAATAATAAGCTTTTAAATGCACTTAGGTGCGCGACACGAAATAGAAAATGTATCTAAACTGATGAAAAGACAAGCAACGACAACAAGAAAAAAACAAATGAATCAACAACAAAGTTACAGAGAAATATACGGAGTACGGGAGGTGCGACCGTCGTTTCCTTTCGTAAATATAATCTAAATTTTCGTGCTTGAAACTGGTTTCAAACGCGCTGACGAGAGTCCGCATTTCACGTGAGTCACATCATCAGCATCGATTGGTAACGTTGCATTCGCATTATTAGTCAACTGCTGAGTAGGTATTGTTTAACTCATTTGGAGAGCGGAAGCGGAGAAGCGCATTCTTAAGCTACGAGAATTTGTTTTTCACCTCCCAACGACATCGAGAAAGTTGGTTAACACCCACGCTCTAATCAAGATGAATGTTGATTCATCAGAAGAAGAAAAAATTGTGTGATTCAGAGTCGCGTTGCATAACTTCTAGGTCAAGTTTATTATTTTATGCGCTTTTAAATGCTGTAGAGTAGTTTGAAACTGAAGAGAAAATAATCATTATCATCATCGTCATAAATACCACATGGAAGCGGAGGAAGAAGGAAAATAAGTATTTGTAATGTAAAACAGGTTTCGGAATAAATTGCCGAGAAAAGTGTTTTGGAAATTTGGGTCTTTAAGTATGTAACACGTGTCCTTCCTTCTGCTTCTCTGGTTCTTAGCGAGGCGGCGCGAACTCAACTTGACTGCGACATCTTAAACCTCAGATTTTCTGGTTCAATTGGGATTAAGTGGGGTCACCATCTACCCAGGTTCTAACTTTAGTTAGTGCCCCGCGCTAAATCCTCACAAGACTCTGCATTTTCATATACTGCAGCACGTATGTGCATGTGTGTATGTAGAAAAGCAACATTCTCGTTTTACAAGGTGTCTATAAATACAAAGCTAGACTCTAGCATATATATATATATATAGTAAATGCATTCGATGCAACCTTGACAGCTTGCAGTCATTGTACTACATCTACTCCTGTGCACGAAGCTTTCGAGGATATCAAAGTAGGAAAGAAATAAAAATAATAAATTTGCTAGGAAACATAAAATCGAATTCACCGATTCATATAGAAATATACTTCCACTTCAGATAAACGTTACACATAGGCGTGTCCTAAAGTAAACTTTCAATAAATAAAATGTAAATATGAGAATCAGCTAAGCAAGGTGATTCAACAGGTATAAACGCAACAGTTGTCCAACAGGAGGGTAACTTAACATTGTAGGGGAACTTCTCTTCCGGTTAGCTTGGAAACAAAGCGCGATTCGAATGCACCGGCTTAGACTAGCTGCTACCGAGCGGAGGGAGAAAGAAAGATCTTTTGTCATTGGTCAATCTGTTGGACGCCGATCCTAGCGTGTGCAGAATGGAAATGGGATGTTTCCTTGAACCAAAACTGCTCCCTAGCTAACAAACTGTATTCACGCAAACTAAATCGCCATCCAGTTCCAAACCTGGGGCTATGGAACGAGAAGAAAGAATCCGAAGAGAAACGAATAAAACAAACACAACTAAAAGAGAAGAGCAAACACACGAAAGTAGAATGCTCGCGAATCCTCAAAGTGGTTTCCTAGAACAAGGGACCTCTCTCTCCTCTTTATTTAGTCGTCCTTCCACGAAAGGCCTTATCTAATCGAGGAGCGTTTTATTGCCTTTATTAACAATATACCATGATTGCTGCAAGCAAATTGCCAAGGCATGCGATCTGCGCAATTTAAAGGGCAAGAGCTTCCATCTTGAGAGAACCACGATAATACCGGTAATGAGCTCTTGGAGGGGAGCAGCAAAAGAAAGTCTTTAAATACCTAAAACCAAAGAAAAGAAAAACAAGAGCGCGCTTCTTACCTTCAAAGTCCTGTACGCTGGCGGCCAGCGCAAAGATGCTGCATAGGATCCAGAATGTCCTAATTAAATCCATGGTTTCAACTTTCCTCTGCTAGTTACAAAGTCTTAGATTTTCCTCAACGGTTCGAAGCACCTTTCCGAAGTGCAGCGACACAACAAATCACAAATACTAGTAGTCCTCTTGCGTTCACAAACTTTGAACTGCATCTTCGTCGACTGCTCTCGACGTAACTAACTGCTTGAAACACCTCATCATCCGCGAGGTTCTCTTCCAAATGTCTATTGATTTAATAATAAAATGTTAAGAGGAAAGAAACACAACAAAAAATGCTTTTCAGGTAAGAAACACTGGATCAAAACATCACCAAATCCACCCACCCGCACTCAGACACAAAGGCCAACTAAACTGTTAAACACACGTCTCCCCCTACCTCGTCCAGAAAAATCAACGCATCAACATGGTTGCCTAAGCGACGAGTGGCGGGGAATTCAAATTTAGTACCTGCGCACCCTGCCGATTGTCCTAGCACAACCCTCTGGATCCCTTTGATCAAACTACTATATACAAACAGAATAAACTGACCGATCTGCGTACATTCATACTTTATTGCAATAAATTCATTCGGTCAAAGGTGAACGATTTGGAAACGTAGGTGAGGCGCGGCTCGTGAAACATCGTTGATGATTAACCGAAATATTTTCGGAGATAAGTCAGCTTTTGTGATTTCTTATGAATAATTCGAATACGGAGAAAGGATTGCCACTTCCTGTATCACGGATACATTGCTCATTGATTCCACGTACGGCGGCAAATTCGAATGTTTATCTATATTCTTTAAATTTACGCCGTGTGGTCACGATTATTAAAATTATGTATTATAAAGTAATGACTATCTAGAGCAACAAAACCAAAAACATGATTTGCTGCATTCTTCTACACTCGAAATAAATTCATATAGTTATTAAGTCATAAACATTTTTTTTCATTGATTAATTTATTACCAAATATGTGACTCATCAATCCAGTTACTATCGAATAATATAGAAACTATGGAACTACTTGCAATTTTTATTATTTCATATTATGGCAAAAATATAACCATTTCAAAAATGACTTTATTTTCATTTAATATTATTGAGTTTACAATAATTCATAATTTTTGTATCTAATTTATTTAATTACTACAAAGTATTAATTTGATTTTATTGATATAAAAGCCGGACAGAAATACTTATGGTATTTGCTGCAGTTATTTTTGTTTGTTTTATTATTATTGAGACTTGGAATAAAGATTATTATTACTTTAAAACAAATCTCAAATTCAACTCGTGACTCAATTAGTATTTGCAAAAATGTTAATTAAAAATCATAAATATTAGGTTCATTTGTCCAGCATCAAAAAAAAAATAGTTAATAGTTGCTTAATGTTACTGTTACTTTATAAGAATTTAGTAGTTTGTCTAATTGATTGATTATCGAGTAGGATAGAGTACAAGTTTTTGGTAGGTGTTTTTCTTAAGGATACAGTAAAAAAAAATACATTAAGAGAGGTTGATTAAACGTAAATAAATAGCATATTTATACATATAATTAAAAATATTTATAAATAGAGTATTACTATAGATCTACATCATATATTATTCTGCTAATTTCTTTAATTTTAAACGTGTACTCGTTCCAAACATCCACGTGCATAAATTATATCAATAATAATAATTTATTAATCTAATACGTATATTAAGGAGAATTTAAAATTCGAAGTATAATCACAAAATAGTACGACCCTTCCAGCGTTTTCTTTACTTCTCTCTTGCTATAATAACAGATTACAAGAAAAGAAAACCCGTTTGTGCATTTTAAGAGACATTGTCAATATGTCTCAAAATTTAATCATAAAGCTTATTAAAAATAATAGAAGTAAAACATATAAAACATAAACAAAACGAAATCAAATAAAACTAAACTATAAAACAAATAAACATATTATTGAGGAATCGAGCCGGTTACTTCATCACAAAGCGCTGCCAATGCCGAGCATTCTATATTCTTTTGATCAAGTGCTTGTTGGATTGATTCCACCTTTATTTCTAACCTTCTAGTAATTGTTGTTAGCTTGTTTACTTCAAGCTGGTGTTCCTTCTTTAAAATCAATATCTCTTTGTTGGACCTGTAAAGAAGAAAATACATTTAGTTTCACTTTTTATATAAGTTGTTAATTCTACTCGATATATTAAAATAATCCATAGGTAAAAATATAATTTTAAAGTCAACCAATACGTACTTATCCAACTGCGACTTAGCGTGTGCTTTCAGCATGTTGTAACGTCCCTCGTTCGCAATAGCCCCCTCATGTGCTGCCTCCAAGTTTCGTAACAACGTCTCCTCGTTGTCCTTGTAGCCAGCAATGATGTCCTTGCTCCTTTCGTACTTCCTACAAATAAAATAAGAATATAATATCGAATATTATCCAAAATTTAAGTAGTATCAAATTATATCCAAATCAAATCCAACTTTAATGCTATTATATTGTATATATCCAAGATATTGTTTATAAAAGCTTCATAATTGTTTTAAGGTTTACTCACGTGTGCAGGTCGGAGAACGACATTTCCAAAGTGGCAAGGTGTCGTTTAGCTGTATCATGTTCCTCTTTCAGTTTTTGGGAAGCATTTACCTTCTGACTAAACGTACTCTCATATTCGGTCATAATAGATCTAAAAAAATAAATAGTTATAATAATGGTAAATAGAGCAGTGCACAAGCCAAGTAAGAACAGTTATAATTAAATTAAATATAATAGATTATATTATTATTACTTACTTAAGTTTATCTTCACTAGAAGATAATAAGTTTAATTGAGACAAGAGCTCTTGTTCTCTTTTTTTAAGTGAAATATTTTCACTTTTTAGGGTCTGCAATTCTTCGTTGTTTCCTAAATCATTTGTCAAGGCTAACTTGTCGTTTAAATTTTTGATCTCTTGCTTCAAGCAATTTTCTCTTTTTTGGGCCTCACCCTGTGACTTCAAAATGACTTCATCCTTCTGATGAAGCTCCAATTCCAAAGAAGATTTATCCTGTTGCAGCTGATTTAGCTCTAACTTTAAAGCTGTCATTTCCTCCTCACATTTAATTGAATTCTCTAAAGAATTCTCCATCTTTTGTTTTACCTCCTTTATTGCCTGGGGTAAATTCTCAACAAATCTGTTATAATCTACTTCATCACCAGCATCAAGAAATTCTTTTAGCTTTTTGATAGCTATTTCTTCTGGAGCTCCAGAAAGATCCAACAAATCTTTAGGTTCTTTCGATTGTTCTTCTGTAGGTATTAGTCTAATCAATGGTTCCTCTACTTGGCTACAAGAAATAGAAGTAAAGTTATAAAATATGATTTATGTGGAATAGTATTAATTAATGTTAGCTTACTTCTTAGATGAATAGTATGGGTCAAAAAGTTGCAAAATGCTCTCCCTAGGCCTTTTGACTGAAATTAAAGAAAACAGAAATGTTTATTTTAGATAAACATTGTAGACAATATGCGATTTCTGCTTTTGAATCTTTGTTGTTTATGGTGTTGCAGTACGCACTGTAAATACTGTCAATATATCACTAGACAATTTAAGGGATTTTCGTTATGTTTTTAAAACATGTGTTTGCAGGGCGTTTAATGCTACGTATATGACATCACTCCATACAGAAGTATGACAGATTACCGGCGGTAGTGAAAGAAAAAGAGTGGGGGAAGCCCGTTGAACCCGCAATGTTATCAAGACGAGATTACACAAATAAAATATAAGACATAAGCCAGAAACTAATGAATAGCGGAGCTATGTACCTAATTATACGGCAAATCTCTTTTCCTTAAAGTAAACCTCTAACTTGACGACACACCCAAAGAAGAACTGAGAATGCATCAAGGTAACATCGTCTACGACCGTATGTATGCCTTCAATAAGGATTAGAATCTGTTCATTCAGTCCAGTGGCGTAACCGAAGACTATTAAATATTATTGAACACATACAACTCCACTATGATAAACAAAGTATTTACAAACTTTGACACTCGCATATCGGAAACGCTCCTTTGCTTAACGGAAAAGCAGTATTTCTTTTTATTAATTTCTTTGTGACTCAGTAAATTGTAGCTAATTGAATTACAAATAATAACTAAATGATTATTGTTATTCAAACAATAAATAAGTTTATAAACAATTACTGTAAATGTATCAAATTACAATTGTTATTGTTTTTAAAGCATTTCAAATATTAAATAGGCAACATCATGTATTTTTGGCATTATGTGGTGCCAGATTTACTTGTTACTATACATGTTATTTAAAAATAGAAATAAAAATGCTCACCAGGTGTAATTTCATCACTGATGATAGTTGTATCTATACTATCATCACCCACATTCTCCTTGTCTTCTGCTGTATAGGGATTAACAGGGTCCTTTTGGCATATCATGGTGACCTGAAAATATATAAAAATTTAAAACACAATTCCCACTTTTATTTTTATATGCCCTTCCTAAAAAAAAGTTACCTCTTCATTTAAAGTAAATTGAACATATTTTTTTAACACATTTGAAACAAATTCCATTGCTATAAGGATAAAGAAGCAAATGATAACATCTAACCAAAATTGCACACAGAATAGCAATTCTAAAAATAATATTAACTTGAAGGTTGCAAGTGTAAACATTTACTAATATTTCTTGGATGTATAGTGAGTGGAATTGTGAGCACATATTAAAAATGCAACAGCAACACTAAGATTTTCTCCCACAATTTCTAGTTATTTTTAGTATATAGAGTAATCACCCCAAAGACAAAAGTGCTATTAATAAACTTACATCGGATACAATAACTGGTTTAAGAGGACTTATAATGGGGTGCTTTTTGACATCTTCAGAAATATCAAATATGTCTGATGAAGATTCATCCGCGATTATATTTGAATTATTTTGACTCATTAAGTCAACTTCCTTGGTGATTTCTGTAATTGGTGTCAATATGACATTTTCATCAAGACTCTCTGTTTTGTCCTTTGATACTGTTGTATCAGTAATCTCTTCAAATGTTAGATCTAGCTCATCAACATTTTGTACTGATTCATCTAATACTGTGGTATTGCAAAACTCTTCAATTGTAAGAGCCGGAACATCACCATATAAAGATGACATATCAAATTTGCGAAGCAGCTCCATGTTATCCAACAGTGCTTGCCAATCTAGGGGCGGACGACGACGATGACGCCAGGCGTGATTTCGTTTTGGTGACGGTTTATAATATAGAATGTTAACCATGGGGTTGAAGGTAATATGTCGTCTCTTAGGTGTTCCATCTTGATTGGAATTAATGGTATCTGCGGAACTAGACGTCTCCAATTCGCTGTAATCATCACTCCTCAAGAGCTCTTCTGACTTGGATAATCTGCTATGCATGGTTGGATCTAATAGAACGGTTTCCTTGGATGTATCCAATATGCCATAATGGTCGCTCTTCAAGAGCTCTTCAGATTTGGATAACCTTTTATGCAAGGTTGGGTCCTCCGTGTACTTCTCTAATGTGTCATAATCATCACTTTTAAGGACCTCTATGGACCTAGATAATCTACTATGTATTGTTGAATCAACATGAATTGGTTCATTGTTTTTATCCAATGTGCCATAATCATCACTGTTCAAGGTATCTTCAGATTTTGATAATCTGCTTTGCATGGTCAGATTAATGTTTTTAGATGTATCCAATGTGGTACAATCTTGAGAATTAATTGTCTCTATTGACCTGGGCCTATTTTCAATTCTTCTTGGCTTTTTCCTAATCGTAATATTTCGCATATCTTCTTCAGATATACACCATGTCCCCGCAGTAACTGAACTTGCTTTAGATTGATGAGTTTTGATCTTCATCTTCACATCCTTGGTTGATAGTACTGGCAGCCTCCTTGGTACTCTGCTTTTAAGAGCCGTCTGTATTGTATGTAAAATTTCCATGGATCTGGAATTTCGAAGCTCTGGTTTCCTCCGATTGCTAATATTTTCCATCGAAATGGACCTTCTTCTTCTCAACACATTTCTTGAATCTCCATCCTGTAATACAAACTTATAATTTCATTTGTGCTCTATTCATAAACTGTTTCAACCCTTAGAATAACTTCCTCACATAGACCTAAATTTTCCCGCGCTTTTTTGAGGTTCTTTGGGATAATTTTTTTTCCAAAAAAAAAGTTTCAGGTTTGAATGGGTTAATATTGCGTACTGAAATTGCGACCTAATATTTTTTAGGAATAAAAAGGTTCAGCAAAATGTATAATCTAACTGCTAATGAAGTTAAAGAATAATGTATATATATTCTTATAAGCTTACCGTATCGTCAGACATTGTTGATTATCACCACTTCCAACCACTTCTCTCAAGAAAAAAATCTGAAAAGTTTCAACCGTCCTACACATCCAACGAACAACAAACGACTGTGGCGAAGCGTACTTTGTAACTTTATTATAACGAAAATTCGCGAATTTGCAACCAACATTAGAACATGAAAAATGAAAATTTCACTCTTTCAACTGGTTTTATCAGCAAACCGTGTACTATTACCTTTAGAAGAATACATCATTATATTATTCATTAACGCCTTCATTCATATCAAAAGTATTTTAAAAGAAATAATGCCGTTTCGCAAAATAAATTTATTTTGTTTTTCTTATAATTATTTTTGCAAACCTGGAATTTTCAAAAAATAACGGTCAATTGTTCTTCAATTGTTTAAATTTTTTTGTACACCATTATTACGGTTATGCAACCCGCCGAATATGAATTAATTATTAATAAATAATTAAAATACATGATTTTTCTCTTAATTTTCAGCATTATTCGTTGCGTTTACACTTACTTATGCCATTTCCAATATAATCTTATAGGATTTTGGCATTTCTTTCAGTCTAATTACTTAAATGATATATTGTCACTTCAACAATGATTTTGAATATTTTGAGCATTAATTGTAGGATCTTAACTTATTAACAGCAATCTGAGGCTGTTAACATTCATTTACACCCCCTGGACAAGTTACATGAATGATTTTTATGATCTTTACTTGTATCAGTTTCAGTTAACATTCATTTACATTACCCGAACAAGTTTCATGAATTTTGATTGATATCAATAAATGTTGGCTTTCTTTAACTATATCCCAAAATAGCTTGTTATTATCTATATAACAACATATATTTAGATTTGGTATAATTTGTATTTCTGTATTAACACATGATCTGCCATTAGAACCGAACAAGACCATATATGTTGTTTTATTAAAAGAAATTGTTATCAACAACAATGTTTATCAATGAAATCTTCCTTCTTGGATATGCCCAGTTTTATAGACTAAATGATATCATGAGATATAATTAACTGCAATTGTGTATGAATTACATAACTACTGTATTTTGTTGATTGAATACTTCAGTAAATTCAATAAGATTTATATCAATAAATGTGGGCTTTATTTAATTATATCTCAAAATAACTTGTTATTCTCTATTTAACAACATATATTTAGATTTTGTATTTCTGTATTAATACATGATCTGTCATTAGAACCGAACAAGACCATATATTTTGTTTTATTAAAAGAAATTGTTATCAACAACAATGTTTATCAATGAAATCTTCCTTCTTGGATATGCCCAGTTTTATAGACTAAATAATATCATGAGATATAATTAACTGCAATTGTGTATGAATTACATAACTACTGTATTTTGTTGATTGAATATTTCAGTAAATTCAATAAGATTTATATCAATAAATGTGGGCTTTTTTTTAATTATATCCCAAAATAGCATTTTATTCTCTATGTAACAACTTATATTTAGATATTTCTGTATTAACACATGATCTGTCATTAGAACCGAACAAGAACATATATGTTGTTTTATTAAAAGAAATTGTTATCAACAACAATGTTTATCAATGAAATCCTCCCTCTTGGATATGCTCAGTTTTATAGACTAAATGATATCATGAGATATAATTAACTGCAATTGTGTATGAATTATATAACTACTGTACTTTGTTGATTGAATACTTCAGAAAATTCAATAAGATAAGATATAGAATAAAATACAAATATATTTGTTCATGTGTTTTGTTTATTTATAAAATAGCAGAGTTTATTTAAATATTACATTATTTTTAAGTACAAATATTGAAAGTAGGTCAGACGTCAATAGTGGTAGTTGTTATATTTATAATTAGATCTGATTATACAAGATGCATAGGCGAATTAATCTGTTTTCCAGAGTACTGTTCTAATCCCTCCCCAGCATATGATAGTAATGGACAGATCTCAACTTCATCCCCGACAACTATAGCTTTGACCTCCTCCAAGTATTTCTTGTGCAACCTGTACAAATCTCTTCTAGCTGTACTGGGACAGTCTTTTCCAGCAGAATCAGCATTTTTCAATGCACTAAATTCAGTATCCCTAGGAACTTCCCAAACGACGAAATGAGAACTGAACTGGAAGACATCAAATACAAATTTTTCAACTTTAATTCCATTTGGTGTTGAAGGTTTGATAATCTCAGCTTGATCATTAATATATGGAATCTTCTTTTTGGCAACATGTACTTGCATATCCTTATTTGCTACCTTCCTGAGGAAGTCTGCAGTGAAGAAGTGATTGCAAATATTTCCAGCATTATAGATGAGACTGCCATCAGGATTTGTAGATTCTGCTTGTGCCTGGGAAATCTCACTGTACTCCACTACTTGGATTTTATCCTTAACTTTGCAAATGACTCCAACAGCTTCATGTGGTGAAGACTTCTTTACGACTTTTGCTGCACAGTCTGAACCCTTCTCTATGCAGTAACCAATAAAAGTCGGATCAGCCACCTTTGTCAGTATGTTATCAACACTGTGTACATGAATATTTTGGATACCTCGAGTTTGGAAATCATCTAATATACCACTTATCTTAAGTGCTTGGTAAATGCCTCCATTGCCATCTGGAGCCATAGCCAACTTGTCTTTTGCATCCATTAAGATTTTTCCATCAAAGTCAAAGCAAGGCATCAAGCCTTGTTTAAAGAAAACAACATTTTCCTTTTCCAAATTAAAGTAATTATTTTCAGTCAGATACTTCTGTGTTGCTTCATATGTTGGAACACTTGTCATGATATACCAAGTTATTTTACCATTCCCATTAAACTTCTCATTGGCTATCTGCTGGACTTTCTGTATACGCTCTGCTTGCAGTTGGAACAGAGATTTGTTGCTGAGTAAGTCAACACTATACATTCCTTTTGGATATGATACACCAAGTCTAGTTCCTTGTCCTCCAGCCATAATTAGAACAGCCACAGTACCTTTCGATATTTCTTGAAGGCCTCTGTTGTAGTAGCTTTCCCTCAGAGTAGGGTCACAATTCTCATATGAACCTAGTTGCTCAGATGAAACAGGCTCCATGAATGTGTCTAAAAGCTGGCCTTCGCTTTCAATGGATTGCTGAGCATCCTGAAACAGCTGTCCCATCTTGTGAAAATCAATTTCCTGGAGCTTGCACAGATACTGCTCTTTCTGCTCAACACTGAGGTCATTGTAGAATCTCAGGAGATGTTCCTGATTGTTTTCTTGAAGGGTACTTCTCAATTGCTCCATCTTTTAAACTAAAGCAATATTTGCAGATAGAGAGGTTTTATAAAACGTCAACGTTTTACTTACGAGTTCTAACCATGGAATGAGTAGAGACTGGGTCAAGCTTTTACCAGCTATAAGTTTCAACCTCTCACTCGATATCTACCACGCCCCATTTACGACATTCACCAACTTTTACGTTCTATAAAATCACCATGTAATATGATTGAATACGTGACCATTGGGGTTTATTTACCTTTTATTCTTGCTTGTATGATTATTTGTGACAATCATTCAAATTCCAGGAATGCCAATCTGTAATTTCAAGTCTTAAAAAAAACTGTACTTAAACAAATTAAGAACTGGGCAAAGTACATGTTTTAAGAAGTACAAATATTTTGAATTTTAAATGGCAATATTAAAGAAATCGGAAGTTCAAGGCTGACCACTATATGGAATGCTAAATATAACCTTTCGAATGCACTTTCTCGCAATTAATTTAATTCAGTAAAATTACATAACTTCTAGTTTTTCGACCATAAAATTTCTAATACAATCATTTCTTAATGAATGAATTATAAAATTGTAGGAATCATTATGTTGGATTTACTCTTATAGAATTAAATAGAAAATAAAATCATTTTTAATGATTGCGAAAGCTTTGTTCTAACATGTTAATTAGCTTTTGTTGTAAATGGGTTTCTAATTAAGAAATTTATTTACGTTAATTAATATATATATATATACTTACTATATGTATAGGATTATTAATCAAAATAAATATTTCAGTGGAACTGAAATATATTGATTTATAAATTCTTTTTCCTGGTATAATTATTTTGTAATACTCCATAATAAAAAAATATAACAAATTTTAGGAAATTTCGTTTCTGATTAAATGATGCTTCTGATAACACAATTGTGATAGAGCACGTACAAAAATACACACGTACGGCTATTATTCTGTTATCACTTAATCTGTAGGAGGAAATTCGCAAACATGATAAGATATATACAATAAATTGAGTGCCATAGGTTTAACGAGTAGTTATGACAATTTATTTTTATCATATATTACAATTGTTCTATCTCTGGCTGTCCTGTTTCAGGATATATTATTTTAAATTTAAATATATATTTATATATATATAATAACATTTGGGGAATGTTAAATATTTATAAAATCACAACTTATAGTACTCTAAACATGTGGAGATGAGGCTAAGCTTGATAGGGCTGTTTCATTCGTCTTCGTAATTTATTTCGTACAACAACTCTTCCATATCCTCAGTTGAAGGACGTTTATCGAACGCAGTTCCATCACCCAAACTAGAAACATTAAAGATCTTTACAATTCTAGTAGATCAAATAAAAAATAAAAAGCCAAATTGTCTGAATGTGTGTCTGTCTGTCTATCTGTAACGCAATTATATAAGCTGACCGAGTGGCAGCAAGTCCTTGTTGATTTGCTGCTAAGGAATTATCTATATATCTATAAATAAATGACGGGGAATAATGTCAACTTATTATGCAATGAAGAATTCACAAAATCATAGGATGAGATTGATAAATAAATGTGATAAAAGTTAGAGCATTTAATATTGTTTATAAATAAAAATGCAACTAGTAATTTGGTAATGACAATTTATTTGTAGCAATTACAAAAAAATAAAATAAAATAAAGAATAAAATTTAAAAGAAAAACAAAGACTAAGAGAAAACAACAAAACATTAAAAACAAGTTAAAGTTACAAATAGAAGAATGCCAGAGAAAAGAATGACCAGATCGAGTATAGGTATTATTACTTATACATTATTTTTTTTTGTTTACTCGTATTAGTTATTATTAATCACTGTTTTGTTATTATTGTTATTTCTTGTGTTTCTTTCTTTTCAGGGAGGAGCGGTGCATTTTTATTTACTTATTGGCAAATAAAATACGGTTTCTTCCTGTTTATTTACGTATGCGCAAGAAGCACCAATACAATCCCAAGCAAAATGAAACTTGCAACCGCCAGTATCAGAAAAGTTTACAACAAATGAACAACAAAATAATAAATTTAAAAACAAAAATATAAAAACTTTTTCAGGTATCCAATGAAATTGCATATATATAGAGAGAGAGAAAGATAATTATAGTACGTATTTTATGAGCAACAAATATTAGTTAAGAGAGAGCGAGAGAAATGGCAAATTGAGCACCCAAAAATCTAGTCCACTGATACTGGCTGGTATGTCTGCAACTGAGCCTAGTTATCTACATTTGGACTCAAAGTCTCTGACCTGGTCTGTGAATTTTCCATTGTGTGATAGGAACTGGACGGTGGCTGTGCACGAACTGGGTAGATGACACCGTCCACAGAACTACAATCATAACATTACTCAAAGATATATCGCATAGTCCTTAGCAACAAATCACAAAACTAAGCTATAGAAACATAAAAAAAAATAATACAACAACCATTTGCACGTTCGACACCCACATTCCATTGCAAAACGAATCCTCGATGAATGATGCATATTCAACAACAGAAGATTAAACATACAGTAATACCTCGTTTAATTCTAACTCATTTGAAATATACCGTATTTTATATTGAAAATTATAAACGAATCTTTGTGATTAATCGAGATAATACTGAAAAATATTATTTGTAGCATGCAGCAATGATAAATTAGAAACCAAATATATATAGTTAAATGTAAGCTAAATCGTAATTCTATTAATTTTATTATATGTAACCCACTTTAGAATATTTTTAGCAAAAAAGCACGTCATGCAGATAACGATATAGATATGATTCATTATTCTAACAAGGATTTGTTTGGTGTCTGATAAACTTGTAATACATACGTTGTAAATACTGGTACCAGCCAAAGCTTTGGATTTTCTCCAAAGACTTGCATGAAATTCTTTCGCCTACCCAAATTGAAGCCGTCCCTGTCCGGTCCATGGTAGAAGACAGGCGAGCGGAATGCCTCTGAAAAGATCATTGTTAACAGACGAACGGCCCTTTGAAATATATTCAGGCTTACCTAAGGTTGTTCGGTTAACTGAGACCAAGTAGATGTGATAAAAAAATAAAGAAGCCAAACTAATAGCAAACATAACAGCCACAAAAAAGAGGAATAATATATGAAAACGTCCCATTCCCTCAAGGCCTCCCTATAATACAACAAAATTATTAAAACAATTCATACATAAATGAGAATAACTAATGTTTCATCATTAAGTCAATAGGTGATCCAAAATAAAAATTCTAATCAATAAATGATCAGTAAATGTGATAAAAAAAAAAGTAAATAAATAAATGTTGACTTGATGTAGAAAGTACTAAGTGAGTTTGAAGGAGTCAACTGCGTTGACTCATCCAATTAAACACATTTAGAAGAGATAGAGAAAGTATAGAAAGATGGAATTGAGCTGGGGATTGATGAATATGATAACAACAATAAAAAAAATTATATGAAGAACTGTGTGTTTCACTGAGTTTTTCTTTCATTTTGTTAGATCTTACCAATGGTTCCGTACTGTGACGATGACCCTGAACAAAATGAAACAAAAAAATAGAGGGAAATTAAAAGGAGTATAGAGAAGAAAAGATGATGCTGCACATACCCTCCAGAAGGTGATGAAATATTGTACTGAGGTCATTGAGATAAATAAACAATACAGTAATGCATATCCTAGGAATAATATAAAGAATTTGTAATTAGTGAAGCACACGCAGTTGTTGACCCAAGGACAATGGTGGTCCATTTTCAGTACACACTCTCCACACACGGAGCAATGATGTGATCTGTCTGGCTTCACATGCTTGCATTTCTCACAATATCTCACATTCCCATTAATCGTGCGATTTCGGTTTGGCAGATTTTGTGAAAATCTCTCTAAGATTGCATTCTGCATCTCTTCAGTTTCAGCATGAGTTAATCGTTCTAATTCACCTTCAGGCAGTTTGAACTGCAAATATAAAAAACGTCACTGTTATCAATCAACTGAAGGTAAATAAATGTAAGAACTTTACCTGTGATGGAACTTGTCCTATATTGGTGAAAATTGTTTGAAAATATGCCCATATAAACATGAAGAATAACAGATGATAAACTACTAAATATATTACTTTTTGAATTGTCGACTCTATAGTTACTAGAAGAGAAATAATAGAATAAAAATGTGTATTTTATAGATGGTATAAATGAAGATAGACTTACTTATACACAATTGCACTACAAAAGCATAGTATGACCAAACAACAATACTCAGTATAAACAAGACAGGCACCCATTTCACAGCCTTAATGCATACGGAACAAGTCCCTTTATTTGTTGAGGTTGTTGATGAACTCCGAGACCCAGGTATAGCCATCATTTAAATTTCATCTCATTCACACCCACATTACATTAATGAACACTTATATTAATTGCACTTTGGAGGACGTCAACCGAACAAAACTATTCAATTATTCGGTGAATATTTATCTTATTGTTTCTATTTTTCATACACCAATATTTACTGACTATCCACAACTATCACAGACGCTGACATAGGTACAATTTGACAACGATTGTCAATTATCAACACACCGATGCGACATCTGCAGCCAAAACAGTATATTATTTATTTAATTTTAAAACCATAAATAATAAACATTAAACGATTTTAAACATATAATTATTTAGTATTAAAGCCATAAAACCTAACTGTAACAAACAAAAACTATAGTATATTAATTTTCATTCAAAAATATGCAATTAATTAATAAAGACTAGCGACATCTATGGTATATTTTGAAATTACAATAATTTCCTAACCTCTGTTAAGAAATGTTTCAGTACATTTCTGAACCTCAATATTTACTATTTACTATTTACTTTATTCTTAATGTTAGTTAGTTAATGTTTATTCATTACTTCTTCAATTATGGATGATAAAAATAAGAAGCCTATAAAAACCATGAGCAGACTGTCTTCCCTAGCAACTAGAGACTTCAACTTAGGTGGCACTAAACCGAAGAAAGTTTATACCCCAAATCTAAATGCAGTAAGAAATAAAAGTGAAAGAACCACAAAAGTAAAGTAAGTAAGACCCTGTTTATTAAATACAACTTAATTATATATTTAAACAACTTCTAGTAATGTTATAAAGAAGGAGAGATTCAAAACCAGACCTCAGAGATCCTTCAACAAAAATTCTCAAAATGATCGTTTTGTACAATCGTCTGGTGTTTTCTCTGAAGGTACTGCATATGTTAAAAGGCCGACCATATATTCAGATAAGCATGCTGCTCTTCGTGAAGCTGGTACAAGTTCAGGCATGATTAAGCCAAAATTAGGACATAGTATATTAGTAAGATGAACGAATTATAAATTAGTATTATTTCTTAAGAAATTATTGTTTTAGATTGATCCAGAGTATGAAACAACTGTGGTTGAAGATTTACTTACATATGATGAAAACGAGCCTGAAAATGATGATGGCTATCAGCCAATTGTATTGCCTTTAGCCTCAAATAAGACTAATTTTATTAATTCATTTAAAGTAAAAAAAGAACCAGAAATGAATGTCAAAAAGGAACTGGATGAGGATAACATAGAACTGCCTAAGGTGAATGGTTTAAATATTTGTGATGGTCCTATGAACATTTCTGTGAAGGAAGAGAATGTTGATATACATGCGCCAATAAGTTTCATAAGCAATAAAAATTATGATAATGAAGATTATCCAATATCTCTAGTAAAGGTTAGTGATTGTATCAAGTAAATGATTATATGTAACTGTTGATTCATTTAAAATTCATTCTAGTTACCAGATTCATTACCGGGAAAGGGATTTGATGATGATAATAATGTAATTGATTATACTCTAAAGCAGATGCATGAAGGGAAAATTGGGAAAATTCTAGTCAGAGCATCTGGACAAATTGATGTTGTAATTGGTGCTACTAATTATACTTTGGATGCTGTTGAAGCAGCTCAATTCACAGAAGTAATTAATTACTTGTTGAAGTATAGGTACAGATTTATGTAATTATTTTCTGTTTGTAGGAACTGATGTGTACATCTGATCAAAGTGAGTTGAAAATGGAGCCGTCAATTTCCAATATAGGTTCCATCAAAGAAAAATTCGTAATATCACCTGTGTGGACTGATTTGCTAATGAAGAAAAAATGATCATACTATGTCCCCGGATGACTAAGCTTTAAGTGACGTTATTATACAAATCACTTGAGATTTACTTACTCTTTATTTTCATATAAGAATAACAATAGTTAATATACAAAAGAAAATCGCGCCTTTTTTTGCTATCAATATATAGATATATATTAGTATTTAATTAATATTGTTTATTTTCAAAAAAAAAATAATTAAGAAGATTAATGCAGTTGGGAACCATCAAATTTATTGTTATTCGTGGAATTCCAGGTTTGTTGACTTTGCTATGAAACAAAGCGTGTCAGTGACTTCTTCGATCTGCGAAAAGAAAAACAAATGTGAGAATAAATGCACATGCATTAATTAAAAGATTATAGATTCATACGAGTTTAGCAGTTGGTTTTCCTGCGCCGTGTCCAGCCCTAGTTTCTACACGAACCATCAACGGATTCGTCTGCTTGGGAACGTTTCCAATCTTATGCTGCAACTCGGCGATGAACTTCAACGAATGCAAAGGAACCACCCGATCGTCATGATCAGCAGTTAAAAGCAATGTCGCTGGATATTGCACATCTCCTGAAATCATCATGGCATCAGCATGGTTGGTTGTGCATATGTATCTACATACCTTCTGGTATTTTGATATTGTGCAGAGGTGAATATTTGTAAAGATAATCAAATCCTTCAGATGTCTCTGAAGAACCATAATCGGACTTCCAGGCGTACCCAATGGTAAATTTATGGAACCGCAGCATATCCAAAACTCTAAAAATCCATTATGATATAACGTTTTTACTGACAATCATACTAACAAATAATTACCCGACTTGGCAAATAGCAGTAGCAAAGAGCTGTGGAGCTTGGTTTATGCAAGCTGCGACTAGAAGGCCACCGTTTGAACCTCCCAAGATGGTCAACTTATCAGAATTAGTGTACTTATTTTCCACTAAATATTTAGCAGCATACTGGAAATCGTCGAAGCAGTTCTGCTTATTAGCGAAACGACCACCATTATGCCACTTATCGCCGTATTCCCTACAAATGTAATAAATTGTATATTTATGGTGCATAACTTGTTTTATGTATGTATAAGATCTTACCCTCCTCCTCTGATATTGGCTACTACGAAGCATCCATCGAAATGATTAACGAAGACTAATCTCGAAACGGAGAAGGACGGAGTAACGTTAATATTAAATCCACCGTAACCATAAAGCATGCAGGGTTTAGTGCCATCCATGACAAATCCTTTCTTGTGGACTATAAACATGGGCACTTTAGTTCCATCCTTGCTGGTGTAGAACTCCTGCTTGCTCACGTATTTCGATGGATCAAGATCACCGACTTTTGTTTCATGAAAGACGGTCTGTTTGATCGTAGACCCTGAGAAATCCACCTTGTAGATTATGTTAGGTGTAAGGAACGAGACGAAGCGGTAGAACATCTCTGTATGCTCTCGCTTGCCAGATATCCCGTTAATGGTACCCAACTCAATAGGGAAATCCATTATTTTCTCTCCTGATTCCAACTTATGTAAAGATAAAGTATTCTGAAATATTTAACTCTATTAGTTATGTTCCCAGACAAGGCAATTTCAAACATTACTTTAACATCCCTGAGATAACACAGTACTAATTGATTAGTATTAATCGCCTTCCCCCAGTCCAGCACATCTTTCTCATGTTCAGGTACCAAAGTAGACCAGTTCGCTTTATCTGGATTATCGAAATCGATGACAATAATGCGATAGTTCGGTGCATCTTTGTTAGTACGGAAGAAGAATTTGCTGCCGTTATTAGTAATATACTGAAAAAAAAAATCAAAAGTTTTAGTACTATTATTAATAAAACCAGTCCAAATACAATATTTACTTCATAATCAGCTTCAAGTTCAGTAACAACTGGTTTAAGATTAAGTTTCCCAGTGACTTCACCATCCATGCGTGCAAAGTAAAGCAAATTATTCTTACACCCCTTAACAGCTGTAACTACTAAATATTTGCCACAGTAACTAACAGTTGCTCCTCTGGAAACATTAAAAAATAAAATTAGTAAGTAGTTGATCTAATAATAATACAATACCATACATTCTAAGTTGTGGGTCATCAAACTCAACCACAACAAAATCCTGAGATTGATCAGTGCCCAGACAATGGTAGTATAACTTCTGGTACTCATTGCAGTCAGTTTCTGATCCATCAGCCTTGCCCTGTTTATGTAGATATGCACCATAAAAGAAACCCTTGTTGTCATGCATCCAAGTCATTGGACTGAACTTGACCTTTGTTAAGATTTCATTGTAATCCTTGCCAGTCTCTACATTCCTGAATTTAATCTCAATCCAATCAGAGCCACTGCTGCTCAAGCCATATGCAAACACCTTGCCATCCTCAGAAAACTTAGAGGTGGATAATGCTATGGTACCATCTTTGGAGAGTAAGTTTGGGTCCAAGAACACAGTAGCCTCACTATCTAAACTATCTAATTGGTAAATAACACTCTGATTTTGAAGCCCTATAAATATCAATAATTATAACATATGGCCATATGGTTAAATAGAAATTATTAAACCTGTATTCCGGTACTGGTAATATTTGGAGCCTTGCTTAAATGGAGTAGAATATTTCGGGTAGTTCCAAAGTTTAGTAACACTCTTATTGATTTCTTCTTTGAAGGAGCATTCTTCAATGTAGGGATGAGTAACAGCATTTTGTTCTTCCACATATTGTTTAGTATCCTCAGCATCAGGGTCTTCAAGCCAACGATAGGGATCTGCCACCTAGACAAAATAATAAATAAACTTTGAAATATGATTGACAGAAAGATTATGACAAGTTATCATTTTATACCTCAACGTTATGATAAGTATCTTTCACGTCCTCCCTACGTGCAGATGGGTATTGATAGGCCATTGTTGTGATGTAGCAAAATCTGTTTTGAACAACTGGAACTCTGCTACAAATGGGTATAGAATAAAAATAACATAACCTAAGATCCTTACCTATATCATTTCTTGTTATCTCACCTGAATTTGCAAAAATTTCTTACTAATCTCCAGCAGAATGTCATAAGCACAAATAATTTGATGTGCAAATATTTAATACGTAAATAGTGAGATTACTAAAGTATATTTTTTTATAAAATTTGTGCCGGTAATCTAATGAACGTCATTGGTCATATTTTACAGAAAATTGGTGGAAAATCTAAGTCGATTTTCCAGCTTGGATTCATCTTAGGATTAATCTAATCCAAATATAATATATTTTATTTAAGCCCATTGCATAATACAAATATATTATATTTATATCATAAGCTCAGTGTGTTTATTTTATGCAATAATATTTAAAATAAAACAATATATCCTTTCAAATTTATTAATGAGAAAATACAAAGCCAAGCAATAACAGAAAAATATATATTATAATATACATTTCATCAAATTCTGTATATTACAATTTCAAGAGATAATACTTAATTATCCATAATGAACAAACATTTGACTTGTTTTTCTTGGATCAAGTTCAATGGGTCAATAGGATATTAGTCAGATATCCCTTTAGCACAGATTTTTTTAAAATTTTGTTCTATATTTATCAGTCTGACCTATAGGATTGATTGATATAAGTTGGAAAATATAGTAAAAAACAATAAATAGTTTATGAGCAATATCCGGTATTTCCATATCGAGTAGTTAACTTATTTTATGTGTATAGAAAATCACCGATTTACTGAGAGATGGAAATACCGTGCCCAATATATATTTTATTGGCAAACATACAGTTACAAAAATTTAAACGGTTCAATAAATACTGCATTTTATTAAATGACTAATAGACGAACGTATTCGAATACAGCCGGTGTCACCCTAGAACCGGTTGTTAAAAACTCTTATATTCCTAATTCCAATAACTATAGTATTAAGTATAAGTTAGCGAAAATAAACATTACATATCGTTTGCGTTGCACATGGAGCAAAAGTAAAGGAATACGAAACAAGATTCAAAATGATTTTAATACGAATAAAAATGTTTGTATTAAAAATAAACGTTTCGCTATTGTGTTAACAGATTCCAGTGCGCAAATAAAATTTAAGAGAGATGAAAATAAATACAAAAAAATTTACAAAATTAGGAAACAATATCTACAAGAGAGAAATATATTGGGGCTGCATTTGCTGTTTGATTCGCCGCTGATGGACTGCAAAACTAACTGGGGTTGAACTTAGAAGTTTGAATAATAGATGTCTTCCGGGCAGGTACAGTCTCAGGTGTTGGGATTGCATCACCAGTGGCATTATTCACTGGATCTGTCACTTTCAATGGCTGTTTGTTGATGCCACCAATCTTCTGTTTTGCCATCTGGTAGTCACCTGAATCGAAGAATTTTTGCTGCAACAATATATGTTCATGTATGCTTTCTCAAGAGCTGTCACCTATAGTTACCCCTTTGGCAAGACGTTTCTGTAAGAAGGCTGAGTGAGCACCAATTGGCCTGCTCGTTGATACCCCAGCTGGATACTTGGCCTTCAACTTCTCTTCCTCAATCTTCTCCACATCATGAGGCGTCATCTGAAAATTGTATGCATTAGGTAAAATGATCAGTTAGGTTTTCCAATTGGATTACCTCTGCTCCCTGCTGGTCTTCTGCTTGCTCACTCATGATTACCTAAGAAGCAAAGAAACAATAGATGATTACTTAAATAATTAACGCTTCGTCACATGCTAGAAATATTTATATTGTGAACGAAGACATGCAACAAAAGAGGCTTTTTTCTAAGTTGAAAAAAGTCTGGATTTAAGCGATGCGGCGTCTTACAGATCGTCGAAGGAGACTTACTTGCAACTCTGCTTTGGTTCTGTGTAGTTACGAAGAGTTTTTAGCGGCGTTTGAAGGGAAATAACGGCGAAACACAAACAGAAATTTGATAAATTTGACAGGACGGTAAAAATGATTGCTGCAGATCGCTCAACAAAAACATGGAGACAAAACTGGCAGCCTGCTTTCGGTTCAGCCCGTGACCACTTCGTCGCACAAAACCACACGCAATATTCTGCAATGTTCGATGGAAGGAGACAGCCTGTTGCAGAATGCTCGTTTTGGATAGAGATGCACACTGGACGCGTTCTGACGTGCTCTAAAAACACACTGAAAATATTGACCTTAGAACAGTTCAAACCTATACAAACGCTTTCGTATGAGGCAGATGCACAATCATTCAAGCACAATACCAACGGATTTCTTCCGTTACGAAATTCAAATATTCAAATTTTTAAACTTGCAATAACATGTTCTTAAACATTTCACCAATAAACAGAACCGTGGCTACACATTACCTCATCAAGCTTTTAGAAAAATCCAATTGGATTCAGTGGTTGCAACACCATAGGCAAATAAACTACTTAAAGTTAAACAAGAAATAGTAGTTCTAACATACATATTGCTTATAAAATATCTTAAGCATCAGAAAATTATGTTTAACGGTAACAAAATTGTATAAATAATTGTAATTAAGTTAATTCTATTAAGTTCACTATGAAAATTTAACAATTAGTTTAGATCAAAAAATGTCCAATTGGAAGTAATTTTAATATCTATTATTTTTACAATTATTATTAGAAAAATCAATTTAAAAGCTTATTTTATATTTTTTACAAAGTATATATTTGTTTATGAAATGCATAGTTAAGAATAGTTCTAATAAGAACTACGATGACGAATCTTATCCAGGTGTCGCTGTAATCGTCGTGATACTCACAAAATTTTGCTTAACGATCGAGGTTATGTGCTTGTTATTCTGACTGGCAGTTTTTGTTCGCTGCAATAAAGAAGATTTCGCGACAGAAGTGTTTTAGTTATTGTTAAAAACGCGATGAATATAACGTCGGCAGCGGGGATTATATCCCTTTTGGATGAGCCCAGGCCTGAGCTGAAAGTGTTCGCTTTAAGGAAACTCGATTCCATTGTCGACGAGTTTTGGCCGGAGATATCGGATGCCATCGAGAAGATAGAAATTTTACACGAAGATAAGGTGTTCCAGCAGCACGAACTTGCAGCCCTCGTCGCGAGTAAAGTGTATTATCATTTGGGTTCTTTTGAGGATTCACTGACCTATGCACTGGGTGCTGGTAGTCTCTTCGACGTCAATTCCAGATCAGAATATGTGGAGACCATCATTTCAAAATGTATTGATTTCTACACACAGCAACGCACTGGTATGGTGGATGGGAGCACTACTGCCAAACCCATAGATGCCAGATTGGAATCCATTGTAAATCGTATGTTTATGCGCTGTTTGGAAGATGGCCAGTATCGTCAAGCTGTTGGTCTGGCTCTGGAGACCAGACGTATGGATATCTTTGAAGCTGCTATCACCCAGTCTGATGATGTTGCGGGAATGTTGATATATGCCTTTAAAGTGGCCATGAGCCTTATCCAGAACAGAGGTTTCCGTAACTCTGTGCTCAGATCTTTGGTTGGTCTGTACCGTGGATTGGCCACACCTGATTATGTCAGCATGTGCCAGTGCTTGATTTTCCTGGAGGACCCAATGTCAGTTGCAGAGATTTTGGATAAATTAGTTCAAGGAGAAGAAGAAAACCAGTTGATGGCTTACCAAATTGCCTTTGACTTGTATGAGTCTGCAACCCAACAATTCCTTGGTCAAGTTCTTGAGGCCCTGAGAGAAACAGTACCTATCCCAGCTTTATTGGAGAGTAAACTTAAGGCAAAGGTCACAGAAGCTGTAACTGCTGATGCTACTGACAAGCCGGCAAGTAAGGAAGAAAAGAAAGATGAGAAAACTTTGGAATCTCTAAATCCACAAGAAAAAGAACATCAGTTGAGAGTTGAGAAGCTGCATAGTATTTTGTCTGGAGAGGTTTCTATTGAATTACATTTGCAGTTTTTGATCAGATCCAATCATGCAGACTTATTAATTCTGAAACAAACAAAGGAGGCTATTAGAGTTAGCATTTGCCACACAGCTACTGTTATTGCTAACGGTTATATGCACAGTGGAACAACCAGTGATCAATTTTTAAGAGATAATTTGGAATGGTTGGCTCGTGCAACTAATTGGGCCAAACTGACTGCCACAGCCTCTCTTGGTGTTATCCACAGAGGTCATGAACAAGAAGCATTAACCTTGATGCAAAGTTATTTACCAAAAGAAGTTGGTCCTAGTTCTGGATATTCTGAGGGTGGTGGTTTATATGCATTGGGATTGATTCATGCCAACCATGGAGGAAATATTACTGATTATCTTCTTGGCCAATTGAAGGATGCCCAAAATGAAATGGTCAGACATGGAGGATGTCTTGGTCTTGGTTTAGCATCGATGGGTACACACCAGCAGCACGTTTACGAACAACTGAAGTTCAACTTATACCAAGATGATGCCGCTACCGGAGAAGCTGCTGGTATTGCCATGGGAATGGTGATGTTGGGATCCAAGAACGCAACAGCTATCGAAGATATGGTATCTTACGCGCAAGAAAGTCAGCACGAAAAGATCCTACGCGGTTTGGCTGTTGGTATTGCCTTTACCATGTACGGAAGACTCGAAGAAGCAGATCCCTTGATTGCCCAATTAACATCTGACAAGGACCCAATTTTAAGAAGATCTGGAATGTACACCTTGGCTATGGCATATTGCGGAACTGGCCATAATCAAGCTATTCGTAAATTACTCCATGTTGCTGTTTCAGATGTTAATGACGATGTACGCAGAGCTGCTGTAACAGCTCTTGGATTCCTGCTATTCAGAACACCAGAACAATGTCCAAGTGTCGTCTCCCTTTTAGCCGAGAGCTACAATCCGCACGTCCGTTATGGAGCTGCTATGGCTTTGGGAATTGCTTGCGCAGGAACCGGTTTGCGCGAAGCTATTGCCCTTCTAGAACCAATGGTAATGTTCGATCCAGTTAACTTTGTCAGACAAGGAGCTTTGATAGCATCGGCCATGATCCTGATCCAACAAACAGAACAAACATGCCCGAAAGTTACCTTCTTCCGTCAGTCCTACGCACAGGTAATCACCAACAAACACGAGGACGTTATGGCGAAGTTCGGAGCCATTCTTGCTCAAGGAATAATCGATGCAGGTGGCAGGAATGTCACATTGTCCTTGCAATCACGCACTGGACACACCAACATGCTTGCAGTCGTGGGAGCATTGGTCTTCACACAATATTGGTATTGGTTCCCGCTTGCCCACTGCTTGGCATTAGCTTTCACACCCACCTGCCTGATTGGACTCAACGCTCAATTGAAGATGCCAAAGCTTGAATACCGATCGAATGCTAAATCCAACGTATACGGCTACCCAGCTCCCTTGGAAGAGAAGAAACGCGAGGAAAGGGAAAAAGTTACGACTGCAGTGTTGAGCATCGCAGCCAGACAAAGGAGGAGAGATCATGACCGCAAGCATCGTGACGAAAAGATGGATGTCGATGAAGATAAAGAAAAGGAAAAGGAAAAAGAAAAGGAGAAGGAAAAAGAGAAAGAAAAGGAGAAAGAGAAGGAAAAGGACGACAAGAAGAGCGATGATAAGAAGAAAGATGACAAGGATGAGAAGAAAAAGGAACCTGAACTAGGCTACGAGATATTGAATAACCCCGCTCGAGTAATGAGGCAGCAGTTGAAGGTTGTCAGCATCGTCGATGGAAGCCAGTACGTTCCAATGAAGGAAGTTTCTATTGGAGGTATCGTCATGGTTCGCAATTTAAAACCTGGAGAGGAAGAGCTGGTAGAACCAGTTGCTGCCTTTGGACCGAAAGCCGACGATGAGAAGGAACCCGAACCTCCAGAACCGTTCGAATGGATGGAAGATTAAATATTTATTATTATTTTTAATATATTTACATTTAAATAATCCGTGATTTTGTATTCAAAAGTCAAAAAAAAAAATAAATCTTCAATAGCATTTTGTTTATTTTTGTTTAATGTAATCGTATTTACAAAAAAAGGATACTGAAATAAAAATATTTCTCCGTAGTTTTCGTCATGTTTATTTTTTCTATTAACTCATATTTCTTGCAACAATATTTATAATTTGTTTAACTGTAATATTGATAAGGTGTGATAAGTCGTAAGTTCGAACATTTCAATAGATATATTTTTATTTGTATTCTACTAACTTTTAAATAATCTGGTTTGTAACAAAATAAGTATAAATAATCTAATTCTTTCGTATTCTTTATTTCTGTTTAAAGTAATTGTATGTATTTACACAAATTAAAACTGAAATAAAAATAATATTACTAAGGAGTATAAGTATTATTTGGATCCCCCCAACAAAAAATAATAATAATAATCTTAAGTGTACCATTGCCTTTGAATAAGAAATTAGTACTTTCCAATTGGGATATATTATATCAGAGCACTGAACAAGTACACAGATACTATATTATAAATAAAATAATAATAAATCTACAAATACTACACATTACATTTTTTATGGAATTTTATCACAAATTCAATTAAAAAAGAAATAAATGGAAACTTCAGTTCAATTGATACTAAATTTATATATATATTACAGATTTGTACAAGAATACTTCCAAATAATTGCGAAAACAAAGGATAAAATAACTGAGAATAAAAAAAAAGAAATGAAAGAAAAAGACCGCCTATTCCATTTATTTATTTTCTCTTGGCAGTTTTTCAATTCAATGTTTCTTCCTTGTAGTTTCTTTTCTTTATAAATAAGCAACCAATTAATATACTAATATAAATTTGTAGATACCGTACAGAAAGTATTTCGTTTAGCTTCTATTATTATAACATTTGTTTCATCTTGAAAGCATGTCCTCCCAAAAATCATACTCTTATAACTTCAAAATTAATGTAGTTGCAAAAAAAAGTAATCTTTTGAATAATATTCATAGATAAATTATTTCTATAATTTACATAACATAAAAACTTATCGATAAAACTCTTTTATTTAGATAATAAATTTTAATATTTGTATATATATATATAATCTGAATCATCATTAATTCTTTTATCTTGTGTATCGCACATAATTATTACCGACCAAGGAACATTGATGTAGAGAAGCCAATCATTTTTAAGTAACAAAGAAATGTACCTTTTAATGTCACGGATCTTCCTATGCCACCGAAGAATAAAATAATGCAAGGGCTTAATAAAAAAAAACAAACAGTAGATATAATTTTCTTTAAAAGCACAACATACGATCAAATCATTTTACCCTGTATGTAGTGTTGTAAATAAAAAAAAAAGAAACGAAATCGAGAAGAAAATAGAAATAATTTTTCATTTTGCTTCTTCATTTCTATCACTGAATGAGCGAAATCAATGGAAACATGGTGATGCCTTTCCTCGTCACGTCTACTAGTTTTTTTTCTTTATGTTGTATTGTTTATAGTTATTACGTAGAATACTGTATACATATAATCTTTGAATATAGTTTTCACGAAATAACAGATAGAATTCTTAAATTACAAAAATTGGATCAAAATTTTCGAAAGATTACTTTGTGAACGCGGCGAACACTGCCCAGAGGACTTCATTGCTGTTCGGCTTTACAGACTCTTGCTCGAAATCTAAATCTTGCAATTCTCTCACTCGTTTCATAGCCAGCTCGTAGTCATCGTCATTCAGTGGTGCAAATGCATTTTCCAAGACATCGCTTGCGTGTGCAAGGAAAATCAAGGCAAGCGTTCTTTGGTCCATGCGTTGCGGATCATTCACCCATCTAGTTAATACTGCATCCTGGATCTAAAAGTATTCAAGAACAACATCATAATTTCATATAAGATCATAGAAGTGTTCTATACTTTAATTGGCTGCTTTTTCCTGTACTAAATCTTCATTTACAGCAATGCAGTGATTTAAAACAAATATATTAAAGTCTTACCTTTTTAACTAAGCGGGTTTTTGTGATATTGTCTGTTAAAGGGTGAGTAGTCATATCGAACAGCAAGAAGTTCTGCTTTTCTGTAGTCAGAACTCCTTTCTCCACAAGATTCTTGGCAAGACGTTCCCGCACATTTTTAAGCTGATAGCGTAGTTTCAAAGGATTCCAGGTTTCCCCTAAAAAGAAAATCACAACAGTTAATTATTATTGTTTTTATTAACTTTTCTTTGTTTATATGAATACCACTGAGATATTCAATCCAACTCTGCACTGTTTCTGGAGGGTCTGTATCTTTGAGATGTTTAAGTGTCTCATCCAATAAAACATCACCGGCTGCTACATCATTTTTCAAAATTAATTTCCTAGTGAGAAGGCCTTTGCGTCTCATGCCTGCTTTCTCCAGTTCCACTTTCAGCTTTAGGCCAAGCTCAATCAAAATGCAACCTCTAAGACCACTCGAGATGCAATCATTCCAGAATGAAGTGTAACCCTGCACACAACAATAATACATGTTATTTCTGAAATTCAGGTCATTTCTTTTGTTTAATATACCTCTTTATCCTTCAGACCAAGCAGCAGGACCTCTTCCATGAGGGTCAATCTGGTTTCTTTGGAGTCCCCGTCGTCCACGAACTCATCTCTCTCTGGCTTCTTGTCTTCACCTTGTGAATCTTTAGGCACACCTTCACCATTTTCCCGAATTATGTTACGTCTCTGTACTAAACCGTCACCTCTGTTCATTGTCGGCACTGGCTCTGCTTCTCTTTTCTGTTTTGTTATACAGTTATCTCAGACTATCGACAAGTATTCGTTCTTTCGGCACAGACACACAGTACTGTTGACGTTTAACACAGATTTTAGTCAATAAAAATAAATATGGCGATGCCTTTCATCTGTCAAGTGCTGGCAACTGTCAAAATAGTGAACGTCTGCAAATTTCTCTTTTCCCGCAAAAATTTGACAACTTCTTCTTAAATTTGAATTCCTGCCTACTCTAATCATTTCTTGATAGTACCAGATAGTACTCTAATTATGTCACACTTCCTTTCATACTTCCTCATTTCTCAATGAATTAACGTTAAATTATCTACTAGTTTATTTAGCTCACATTCATTGCTAGATAAATTGTATATACGTACATGCTTCTTCTATTTTATATAAATTATAATTATATAACTATCATTATTAACTTTCCAAACAAATAGTCTCTTGATCATAGTGTAACATGATTATAAGAGATGTCGCCACAAATGTTTTAAAACTTACACTAGATGTCGTAATACATCTCAAATAACATCTTAATTTATTGCTTTTTTTGATCAATTTCTCTATAATTAATGTAGAAATAAAATACATTATTGATCGACATTTTTCAGTCTGTCTTTTTCATGCTAATACTAAAACTGAAGTCTTTATTATATTATTATAAAGAATGAAGAGCATTCATATGTTAATATTTTATATGTTTATAATAGTTATATAATTGACTTTGTTAATGGATGATTCTGTAATTAATTTTAATACTAATTTAAAACTAAATATGTAATAATGAATGGGAAAGGTGAATGAACGAAGACAATGATTACATTTTATTGGTTTATTTTTTTACTTTGTTTTACATCAATGAAAGTTTCAATACACTGATTAAACATTGTACAAAATTAAATAATACATAGAATAATACATAATAAATATCAAGTGAACCAAGAGAACCTGCACGTAATGAAATCAAACGAAAAATAAAATATTTAACAAACAAACAAACCATGAGAGAAAACAAAACAAAATTCTAGACCATAATTGTGAACGCACTTTACTGTATTCACATTGAAAATCAATACAACATAAAATTGCAGCTTAAAAATCAATAATGAGTGAGTAAATTTCATTTCAAATTTCCCCACCCATTTCGAAATGTAATGAATAATTGTAAGAATTCCAATATTATAAGTTACGACTAATTTTTATTATTGTTTTTAGATTCTTAATTCTCAATTGTTATTACTTTTTTTGTTGTTGTTATCCTTCAAAATTGGTTGAATCTGCTGCTGCTCGGTTTGATCTTGAAATAATTTTTTTTAATCGTAATTATTAAGTCGCTTTTACATCAATGAAACTTTCAATATACACTGATTAAACATTGTACAATAATAATACGTTGACGTTTACATAATGGATAAATGCGAAAACAAGAAAGGTTCAGTTACTTTCATTATTATTTTTTTACTAAAAACAGTATAAAGTATTTTTTTATTTCCTGTTTTCCTTGGAGGTAATTCACAAAATCTTTTTAATAATTTTTCCAATTTTTAATATATACAAACCAAAGGTATTTTGTTGTTTAATTTTTTTTCGATTTATTTACTCGCAAAACTGTTATGTTTATATAAAAATTGGAAATTAAAAGAAAGTTTTTGTGAATTAATTGTATCTCTCCATGTATTTAACTACTAAATCCTTTTTTGTTTGTTTTGTTTTCGCTTAGTTATTTCTTTTATGTAATCTGGTACGTTACATCGAAGATAATCTCAAAAAACACTGATTAAGCATTGGTTAAATATTGCGCGTTACACATTGATTTCCATATAATAAGTATGAGTTCATTCGATTAGCTACTGGTTAAAATGACAAAGATACTTTGGATCAGCGTTTGTAATCTCCTAGGCAGTGTGAGGTGCTACAACCGAACCGGTTGTTAAAGTAACATCCCTTAAACGGGGTTTTCCTAGCTGAACATATACCTTAGGTATTTTGATGCAACGCTGTTCCAAATTTGGAGCAAAAATAAATGAAACTGTGAAATACCATAAAAATGTTCGCTAAAAGTCGAAACATAATCATTGATAGAAAAGTAATAACATGCAGTGATTGTGTTTAGAATATTAACGTTTATTTTTTAAATATATCAATATTTCAGATGTGGGCTCGATTGGTACAAATTTACAAACAGTTTTTTTTTAGTTGTAGTTAAGGAATATTGATTTATCGATTGGTCACGTGTATTTAATAATTGGTCCAAGAGGGGTTGGAAACAGTTCGTAATAGACTTAACACAATCACTACTGAAGGAAGCCTAGTCATATATATATTATATTGTTTTCTTTTGTTTTAGGTAAATTCAGGAACATCAGATTACAGAATATAAAGAGAAACATTTATGTCCATTTGAACCAACTGCAGTATAATAGAATGGTTATATAAGTTTACTTGTTTTCTTTTTAGATATGGGCACAATATTGGGTGCCCGATAAATAGACATCGATAATAACTAGTAAATTGTTTATGAAATTGGTCTCATGCCTGTTTTGAAAATCGCGGTTGAATAACAGTAAAAAAAATGTTTAAATCAGTTTCATGTTCATTTTATTTGAATTATTATTTTTTTCTTGTGTTTGGTTTGACGATTTCATTTCTTTCGTTAAATTTTCGTTTTGTGTCGTCTTCCGTTCAATTGCGTTCTTCGGTCTTCCTCTTCAAATGGTCATACCCGACATATTCCGCCGCTCGTCACGCAACAGCAGTACAAAAAATATATGTATATATATGATAATGCTGAAGCGAGTGAGCCTATTATGCAATCCACCTGCTCGACGTTGCGGTTTTGTTTGTTATTTCATGCTTATTCATTTTCTTCATTCTTTTCCCTCTCTAGTTCTATGGTTGCTTCAATTCGGTCGTTAGATATCTTTTTTTTCCACCTTTCTTTTAATTATTATTATATTTTTTTTTTAAGTTTTTTTAAAATATTTTTTTTCTTCTTCTTCTCCATTTTACCCCTTACAAAATACGATATCAACATAAATACGTAGCGTTAGAAAATACTATGAACATAAGATACCTATACAAAATAATTACAAAATCCTAAGAGTTAAGTTATGAAAAAATATAATAATAGAAAATAATAAAGAAAATTCTAAGTAAAATCGCGTAATAGACGCCCTTCCGTTCGCTTCGTAGTCTACTATGAAATTACATATGTACACTTATGTAGTTCAAGAAAAATCGTTATAGAATTAGGAAAAAAATAATAATTTACACTTTAATGAATCATAATTCAGTGCTCATCTCTGAAACATCTGCAGACTTCATCGTTGACTTGGAGTTGGCGTGGTCGCTTACGTTGGACGATGAGACCTATTAGAAACAAATAGACTATGATACATCGTACTTTTCTCATTAAATTATACTATTTACAAGGTGTCCCATTAAAGTGCAAATAATTGCATTTTAACTTGAGGACACACTTTAGTGTATATTTAAATGTTTTGTTGTATTATTATCTTGTATTTTAGAAGCTAAACTAATTATGGTGAATTCATTTTTGTAATTAATAAAAGATATTAAGGTGTCATTGTTGGTGTATTGGGAGATGTTACGGCGGTGTGTATTGGTTGTATTCAATTCACCCTACAAAGTGTAGAAAATAGTGTGTTAACTATACTTACTGGGTGCTTCTGATTAGAGGAGTTAGTACATATTCCAAGCTGATGGATCGAGAGCGGCTACTTAATGGAGGCAATGGGGGTTTAGCACTAGTACTATGTGTACTTCGGCTACTTTGGCATCTCTGTATCACATATACATATTGCTTAAACCTTAGTATTTACAACAAGAAAATTAGTGGTCTCTGTTTGCGCTGACTGAACTTAGCGAGAGGTATAAGAATGTATCTTTATAAAATGAGATTCAGTTTGTCCAATTGCCTGCTTCAATATGTATGTGACACAGAGCGAGTTACGACATTCGAGTGTAAATGTATAAATTAAAAGCCGGGTCCAACCTACATCGTGGTACAACGAAAGGCAGAAAATGAACAGAGTCAAAGTCAAGTCAATTGAAGCAGCCAAATAGACAAAAGCAAAGCACAGCCAGGAACGGAACAAAAGCCTAACAGAATACCACTATCGTAAACAAACAAAAATAATAATAAAAAAAAAATGTAAATGGAATTTCGTTTTATCGAGAACTACCTTCGTCCGTGAGAGATACTTACAGAGAATTGGTTTAAATTTTGGTTTTTGTCGGCGCGGTTGTACGCGTACATGTAATTGTCATCTAAGTCTGAAGCAGCGCTGCTCTTAGAGCGAATGCTTGATGACATCCGATACTGTAATCTTAGTGGTCCCTCATTACCGTTTGTGACAGGACTACTTGCAATAGATCTTAGAGAGCCCCGCAAAGAAGTATTATGCTCAGGTGTAGATAAGCGTGAATTGTTATAGGAAGTGTTACTGGTTTTAGAACCCAATCGAGTAAATGTATTGCGATCGCTTGGTTTGTGATCTATGGCACCCAGATTGTAGTTAGGAGAAATGCGAGGCGAGGCTTTAGATTGCTGCTGCAAAAAAAAAAATAAAAGAAATAGAAGTAGAGAGGTAGTACTAGTATATCCTGAAGGTGTCTGAAAGAACACAACTAACCCCATATTTACAGTCGCCGGCTTTATATACAGTTTTATTGTAGGTATGCGATTGCTTATTTCTCTGCATGCCCACATTGTGAGATGGATAGTTATGATGTGTTGGAGGCTGATAATCACTAGTGAATGATTTACTCACTGGAATTAGCCCAACTCGTGTATCAGTACTACTTTTAGTCCCATGCTTTGCGCTATCGCTCGACCTAAATGAAAACATCACAGAGAATGAGTGATACGAATTTCCAGGATTTCGAATACTTCATTTTCGAATGAAGTGGTGTACAGACCTTTCGCTGCTGTAGGCGCAGTCCTGTTCGCCTCCCAGACCGGAATCGGTGTGCTCGTGACTCACCCTAGGTGAATCCGGAGAGTCATGGTAGCCGTTACTCAGTCCACCCAGCAAAGTGTTGGGGTTTCCGTATAAAGCGGAACTACCGACTCTTCCGTTCTTTCCGCTCCGCTGGGATCCGTAGGAGTAATTATCGGAGATCCCAAGTTGATCAAGCATCCTAACAAAATCATTTTTACTACAACTGGGAAAGGAACTAATTTCAATTAGGTATTTAATGTTTTTAAAGAGATAGTCAATTTAGAAATTCATAAATAAATACCTAGGTAGCATGTTGTTTGAGTTGCTGTGGGTACTGGAGCTTGAAGCAATGCTGGAAGCTGTCTTCGTCATCAATTCCATGTTGGCGGATAGAGATGGCGATTGACTTTTGCCGCAAGCACCGGTCCTCATACTTCTGATCCTGCTTGCCTCTGAGATCTGCGGAGAATACGGAGGCGGCGGACTGTCTATGCGCTTCTCGCCTTGCATCTCGCTATCATAAAAGCATCAAGTAAATATAGATCCAGATCAATTGATGTCGACACTGTCTTACCCTTTGGACCACTGCAGATGCTTGATTTTTAATTGCTTGGCGTGGTTTGTTTGAACGACTGTATAAGGGATCTCTCGTAATTGCGACTCGCTCATTCCGGTGGTATCAATGAGATCGAACTCGAGATGTTTCTTTAATTCATCAGGCAGCCAGGCCTTGCCTTCTGGAGACCGCGATCTCGACCTGTGTTTCCGATTCCGACGTCTGTTGCGGTAAGAGATTTCAGATTCGGTTTCGATTGGGTAGCCGGAACCCGATCTTCTGCTGCTGATGACATTGGCTTGTTGGATGGTGCTCGCATTCCCTTCAGCTGCCTGCTTCCTTTGGACTTCCCTCCATTGAGAGCCGGAATCCACCAACTCGTAATGACTGTCTGAGCGTCTGCAGTACCGAAGACCAAAACGATATATATATATATATTTATATATAAATACACATAACGAAGCTGTACTTTAAACTCAGCGTTTGCATTAAAATTTGTATTTCGTTAGATTAATTAAACTTTGGAAAACAAGTTATATGTTTCCGATAAATTCGTTTCCACCTCCGACCTCAAAAACTAATTATTGGCGCAATAAAACTTTCGCGCTTCGTGTTTTGTGCATGCATACGTCCTGATGCGTTTTGAATTAAAACGTTGCCCGGAAAGAAATGCAAAACAACAAGCACTAGTCGTACCCCGGAGGCACCCTTAACTACGTAATACTAAAACGAAACAGGATATGCCCGGATCGCGCGCATTATGTAATTTGCTGCCGTCGCTGACTCCAATTCTCCTCCTTCCTCTCAGGTTTGATTAATATGGCGGTGTTTGATTCGCACATCCTCCCAGGATATATAAATATGTATTTATACCGTCGTTAAATTTCGTAATATGTAAATCGTAAGTTAGTTTAAAAATTTACCTGCAGGATGTACAATAACAAAGCAAAATCAAAGAAGTACTTAACATTGATTATGCAAGAAATAAAAGACATTTACTGTTATATCCTTGGTTTTTTAAGGAATTTTCTAATAACTGGAAACCATACATATCATGTTTAATTAAGCTGAAACTATAGGAAATTAAATGCGTTTATATAGTTGTAATTTCAACATATTGAAGTCTCGTGTAATAATAACCTGTCAAATTTGAAATCTTAAGCAGTGTCGGTTTTAAACGATTTCTTATTAACTACACATGATACAAATAATGTGAAACATGTAAATTTTAGCTGAAACTATAATAAATGCAACTCACGTATGATTATAATTATATCGTAAGCAGTTTTCATGTTATACGCAATCGAATTTTAGAATGAAATTATAAACCTTGAGTTTTAACTGAATTTCTCAATAATGTTGAATACATAAATAAGCTATTGAAAACAAAATACTTGTTATAATTGCTTCGAACGAAAAGTGTTAAAATATTGAATTTTCACTACTAATTAAAATTTGTATATAAAGTATTACGATTGTATGGATTTGTTGATAAAAATCTTTACTATGGAAATGTATATGAGTTTGATAGAAAAGGTAATGCTGAATATTAGAAAGTATGAACTTCGAAGTACCGTATGGCTGAGTAATTTCGTTTAATGAGAATAGAAACGTGGATGAGATTAAAGAGATAGAATTGAGCGGGGGAGAAAGTGAATTTGGAAAATGGTCTCAGCCGATGCGAGTGATTCGATTAATAGATGGGTAATTTGTGACTATTTTTAATGGAATTGTAATTCGGTAATGCGATTGCCAAGTGGATGGATGTACCGGCTCCTCTAATCCATGCATGTGGGAGTAATCATTTACCTAGATCTGCTGAGCGATTTGCGTCTGTGCGACTGGTTCTCCTGCTCGGATCCGGAATCCCGTCGATTTCCCCTAGACCTATGCCTCCTGTGCTTCCGGTGCGATCGACCTGAGCACTTTGATAGTTCGCTTTCATTATCTGAGGTCATCCTGCTGCGATGCTTGCGCCTGTAACCGAATGTATTGTGATGTGTCTTGAAGATAATTTCGTTTTAGAGTAATACCTTTTACAGGACCTAGAGTCGTTGGAGCTTTGACTGTCCACCGAAGACGAGCGGTACCGGGGACCTGCAGATCTTACGGAACGCGGACTGGGAGGAACGGAGCTGTTGTAAAGACCTCGGGAATGGGGCTGGGTCCATGGGGCACTCCTAGTACTACGTGGTGAATCAGACCTCTGTCTGGTCTCGGTCGTGGATGTGTTGCACGTGGCCCGATATGGACTCTCGAGTCTGCGGAACGAGAACAGCCTCAAATGGTGCAAAAAGCCATCCCATAAATCGCTGCATTTCTTTATGGATACTTACGACTGGGCGGGTTGAGGTATGGACACGTGCTTGATTTCCGGGGGTTGATAATGGTCGATCTTGACGGGCTCCTCCAGTTGCAGACCTGTATAACAAAAGAAAGCCGTTGAGCGGTGAGGAGAGAAACAACGTACGAGATGCGGATTTTGTTGCACTGCTTCTTACCGTCGTTGGCTCCTTCGACAATTCTTCTTTGGTACCGTCTGGATGGAGTTCTCGAGAAAGACGGGGGCGTGCGAACTTTGATCTGAGCATCGCGCACCGCCTGCTTCTCCGTCCGCCCACTGAAAACGAACCGAAACAAAACGAAAATCGTATTTTCACATGCTCCCAGCCGCTTATCAGTCTCACCTATACCTGAATCTCGATCCGAGTGCGAATATATCTGGTGTTGTCGGGGACACCTGTACCAACCTGAAGAAAGCGTGGTGCTCCACGCAACATTTCCATAGGTGTTTACAGGCAGCCTTCGAAGGTGTCTCAAATCCGTATGTACTTTCATCATTCTAAAATAAATATCATCTCCATATTATTTAATTCCATTTCACTACACACTATATTCAATTACACTAGTATCTAATGATTTATAATAGTTAAAGTCTATATCAAATGAGTAAATTATTGGAACTATATATATAAAAAAATACGTAAAAGCAGAAGAAAATTTGAACTTAAGATTTATTAAAAGTATGTATGTAATTAGTTGTATAATTTGTAGCAAATTGTTTATATTTGAATGAAATAATTTTCATTTGTGAAGTGAAAGAGAATTCAAATATAAATTGGTTAGTTAGTGTTAGTGGAGGAGAGAGAAAGGGTGAGAAGTTTATGTGAAAATGGCAATAAAGTAAACATGTTAAATGAACGGTCAGCGTTGCGTGTAACAGCGCGCAGAACTTAGTTCTTTGGCATTGCATCGAACTATGAACTATGAACTTGGCCAAGAGTGCTTACGTTTTTATCGGTGACTCTGAGCATGAAATAGCGGCCTTTGAAGTAGATTTTCGATATACGCGGCCAATAGTAATTGCCGACGGTGTTCTTGTTGCGCAACACTATTATACCGCTCGGGGTCAGACCTAGGAAATACTCGACGTTGTCCTCACCCTAACAGAAATCAATAGGCATTAATATTAATTCGCTGGGGCAGAAATCGGGGGTGGTTCGGAATTATTACCAGCACGGGATGCAGGTCGACGCCGTACATCTCCAGCCATTTCACTTTATCTAAATAATTCAGCTCGGCAACGGAAGGCAATTGTCCCCTAAAACAGCACAAAAAGAACACAACATCAAAGCAAACACTAAGAGAAAAAAAAAACACAACAGCTTAATAATCCGAAGATGCTTACACTAAAGTCTTATGCAATTCCGCGATCCTGGTCTCCAGTTCCAGCGTTTGGTTTGATAAGAACCGGAACTCCGAGACGTATCCGGGACTGTGTCTTCTGGGATCATAATCTCCCAATTCCGCTGGAAAACCATACACATTATACGGATGCAACTACGGATATATTCAGATAGTCTCGTATCTTGAGGAGACATCCTAACCATAATAATACAAAAAAGAGAAATACTTGATACAAGCTCATGGAAATCCGCTGCTAATTGAATAACTCAACCTGAATAACAGATTTAATTAATATGCGACGTGTGAAATAATAAAGTTTTAATTAAAAAGATATGTGCGTTGCGTAATTAAGCCGTGCGTCATTATGCAGTGCGCTCTTACCGCGGATCCCTAACCCTTTAACTGCCTAACAGGGATGACTCTGACCCTGCTCCAATAATATGCGCACCCATAAAATGTTTTAATTACGCTCGTAATCAACCTACGCAACTTATGACCCTTATTAAAAACCATATAATAACTACACGTGATTTAATCATTCACAAGTTGCTGTATACATAAACTTGCTTTGCAAGTCTGTAGGGATCATTCGTATTTTGGCTGTAAGATGATGCACCAGGTTAGGTAATTTAATTCGGTTTACTTAGTCCGGCTTCAATTACTGAATTGCCTCTAATGCAAATATACTCGGTCAAATTAATTAGTAAGTCTGATTTAATTGAATTTAGCGTGTTTGAGTTAAATAATCTAATTGTAAATAATAAATAGATTGTGTTTCGCATGGGAGTCAGATTCGGACATCAGCGAGGACGAAAGTATGATCTCTTGAGACTGGACATTGAAACTTACAAATTATGCTATTAGTTGGAACAACTTAGCTGATGCATATTCATAAGATTAAGTGTGACAAAAATGGATCAGTATATTTCATTTTAGGAATTAGCGATTTGCCAACAGATTAACATCTAATTAATAGTTATGTAAAGCGAAGCGCTTTTTTTTTTGGTAGTTTATCGTCGTGTGTTTTGGTCGTACTCCCACATTCAATTAACTCGTAAATGAATAAAGCTGTTTCATTTTTTTTATACTTATAACATGACATTATTATTATTATTTCAATAATCATTCATTGAAACTTAACATTTAATTTGCATTATTTATAAAGAAATATATTAATATACAATGCATTACGAATTTGTTTAGCATTAAGAAAAAAATCTTTATTTCTATACAATTTAAAGTATCATAAAAGAAGCTTTACTATATTGTTTTTTAAATTACTTTTAAATTAAATATTTAAACATTTATATATTATCAATAGTTGTAGACTTGAGTTAGCAATCAAAATATTTGACGTTGATGTTCACGCGTTCATTTTTTTTTCCCCAAGTCTTTGTCGTTGTTAAACGTCTTGTTGGATGAACATTTCTTCTTTTTTTTTATATGCGTTTTTATGAAGCGTGACGAAGATTAGTGAAAAGATTATGTAAATTCTGCCGTGTGGTGACACTCTATATATCGTGGGGACTGGTTACGATGTGACATGTGGGTTTGCTTTAATAATGTCTGTATCATTTGCAACGCAATATTAATATTGCGTATCTGTATCTGTACTCTGTGTGCACGTATTATTAGATCCGGTAGAAAATCTCGCGAGGAGCGAGATTCCACCTGAAGATTCGTATCTGGAGAAGGAAATATCCATTAACTGGTTGTACTCTTATTACGTGCGCCAATGCAAAAATGAGGCTCGATCTCTAATTGTATATATTTACAATAATTCATGCGACTCGATCAATTAGAGTTTCGTTAACGGCCTATCCTCAAGTAGGAGAGCGGTGTAAGGCTTGAGGTATGGTAATTTACTTAAGTCGCCGTCAATCAAAGATTGTACTTACATTGGACGATGTACGCGCCCAATTCGGCAGCGAGTTCAAAGGATACCGGCAGCCTTCCCTGCAGGATGTCTTGCTTTACCTGGAGGAAGAACTGGTACCTAAAACAGACGAGAGAAACGATTAGATCTTGGTGCTTCGGATGGAGATGGGCGTAGATGGACAACTAATTTGGGGTTCTCTTCTGCAGCCTCCTCGACGTGATTAATTCGTATACTTCGTTATTTTATTTTTTTTCGGACACCCAAAACCGTTTGTGCTTCTGAAGTCCCGTAATGTTCACTTTCTCGAACGTTTCACCGCGAGAGGAAAGTCTTGTTGGTAATGTAATGTAATGTAATGTCTTCTGCATCCCGATTTCCGAAACCAGTAAAGCATATTTATTTTTTATAAGGAGATGCCCATCAATATGCACGATTATTTAGAAAGTCGGATTGCTTAAATAACGAGATTAATTGCTGGTATGGAAATAAGTACGCGCAACTTCGGCTAGCCAAGATCACATGTAATTATGTAATTTTAATTTTCGGAGAAATGTTAAGCATCTCGAGAATGTGGGCTAAGTATAAGATTTCGTGATTAAAGACTGGATTTAATGTGTGTGCTCTGCGAGAGACCCGAACATTAAGACACGTATTATTTTACATACACGCAGGGAAAAGCATAAATGTCTTAAGTAATAAACGAAATGAAAAAAAAAAGGACAACCCATAAGCTCAACAGTTCTGTAACTGAGCTAAAACATATATAATTATATAACGTCTGCTTACACTTACAATATTTATATTATATAAACGAAAAAAATGGTTTTCCAATTATTTTTCTAAATCATATTTACTTATTTTATTTAAGGTTTTGATCAAATATATATCAATTTTATTAGTACATTGCACAGTATATGTTTTTTCAAATCAATTCATGAAATATATTTAAAAAACTTCGTTGACAACAAACGTAATGAAGATAATTAAATATAAAACTATTTTTTTTTGGTATTAAATTAATTTAATGCTATAACATGTATGTTTGATATCTTATATAATTTCGAGGTCAGTGCTGGAGAAAATCTGTAGTAATTGATTGGCGACACACGCAAACCGTAAACTTATCACTTCCGGTTTCTGTGAAAATCTAAATCATTTTAAATTACCAACCTAATTAAAATCGATTCCGAATCGCGTGGCTCGTTTCTTCATGGAAAGAAAAAAATTGAAAACTCGCAATAATCCCAATTAATTTTAATTATTCTCCATGTACAATAAGACAAATAAACAAGTTCGTTGTATTTAATTGATGATTTTGTTAAATTTCAAGAGAAACTAATTGATTTTTTGTTCTTGTTTATTTTCAGTAAAGTTGTTGTTTTCGTTTGCGGAACGCTCAAACTTGGTCAACGCTAATTTGAATAAATGTTTGGTTTTCATATTATTCATTTGTTATATCACACGTACAATATGTTACTACTAGTGTTTGTTGTCGTTTTTTTTTTAAAGTCGATTTGTTTCCTGTCGCCTATTCGAGCGTCCATTTACAAAAATTATCCGCGACAAATGGAGCAAAACTAATTGTCGACTCAAATATGTACACGTGTACACTAGTAATTTTTTTTTAAACACAGATTTGTATTCATTTAAAATTCAACAATTATTATAGTATAATTTTTTTGTAACGTAATGAATTGAAATCATTTAATGAAAATTTCTTATAAAATTCAATTTATTTTAAATAAAATTTCTTAAATATTTGTAAAACCAAAATGTCAAATATTATTTCCAAATTAATTATATTTCAAGTTTAATCTATTAATAAATGAGTAAAATTGTTGAGTATTATACTTGAAATTTATGTTGAATGGTATTTAAATTTGGAAGTAAGAAGATGAGAACTCTTCTCATTGATTTTTTTTATAATTTAAGAGAGTAGATGAAGTAATGTAATTGATTGCGAAACGAGGGTAGGTAAATGTATATTTGCAGTTCTCCGTAATTGGGATGGCGCGGGGTGTTATTTAGCGAGTAATTATGTTATTAGCGAGTTATTTGTCTGAACACGTGTTCACGGGAGTCCTGAATGCAAAGTGGTTGCGATTCGGAAATTTTATTAAGCCGTGCCACTTAGTTTCATTTACATATGCATACATCTAAGTTGCTCACGCTAATTGGAGGAGGCGGAGGACAACTTCGGCGCGAATCTTCCACCGCCATCCTTCGACTTATTCCTAAGTCGAAGTTGCAGCCTGTATGAGAGTGTGTGTTGGCATATGTGAATAAACACATACACACACATATATACTCTCGCGGATGCACTTGGCTTCTGTTGCTCGAGTGTTGTATAACGAGTTTCCAGCATTTTTCCATTTGGTTTCAGGTTTGAAGGGATCAATAATAACATAATTAATTCATATTAATCATACATCCTGCACATCCTGTATATTAAACACCTATATATTTATAATTCAGGTAGCACTCGGCTATCGCTTATAAATTAATACTCTCTCTTTCTCTCTGGGCATAAACTGTCAAACACAATCATTAATAATAATTAAAATAATCAATGTGACGACATACATACACACACCTTATATACGAACATATACATATATAATATACAGGTTGTATCAATTTAAGTTTTACGCACAGTTAATGAATGCTTGGTGAAAAGAAAGGACGCACTTGAAATTTCATATTTATTACATAAGCACGAAGTGTAAACATTTCCATTCTGCACATCAAATGTTTACTCACGTCGGATTTATCTATTTTTTTCCCCTTGATCTCGTCCTATCAAGCACGACCACTCTTCCTTTCTACGATTGCGGAGTTACCACATAGATTTTCTCAACTCCTAATATCATAAAATTGACTATTTTACTGTAATTGTAATGCAATTTAAACGCTATAAACAAGTACTTTCATTATCGAAACATGTGTGATTTTGTATGTAAATTATTGAAATCAATCTGATGTTATGATTCCTCGTTTTGTTGAAGAGTGTAAATCTGCACTAGCCATAATAATGAGGAAGCTGCTGGTGGTATACTAAAAGGTTCGTCGATTCGTCCACAGATGCCACTGTGCTCTAATTTCGGACACACAAAATATAGTGAATCTTTACACATTTCTCTACTATCATTTAATACTGTAGTAAGCAAAAAAAAACTGTGGTTAATAGCCATAGTCAATATCCTTATTTATTTTCCTTTCCTATTATAAGAATAAAACTTATTTTGAAGTTATTTTTATAAAAACCATAAAATTTTCATTTAATTTAATTAACTAAATATTAATTTTTTAATTATTTTTTTTATATAAATTTAATTAGCATGGTCTTACTTATAATTATATAATTTATGTTATAAAAAAATGAAATTTGTATTTATTAAATAATTACTTTACTGTTAATATTTTAAAAAAATAGTTTATCTTTTTAATTAAGTTATTTTTATTTGTTTTTAAATTGTAGCAGTTTATAAATTATTTGACTATTTGATGGTAAAAATAAGATATTGAAGAATTTTAATCAATTATTATATAATAACTTAATTAATTATTTTAAACAATGTATTTCGTTAATTGAATTATTTTTTAATTTGTAGTGAATTGGAAAAGTTTATACATTATTTAATAATTCGATGTTAAAAAATAAATTTCCTTTTATTACTTGGTTTGGATTACTTATTTGATAGCTTACAATAGTTAAGCAATATGAGCATGATATAGAATTGTACTTTAGTGATGGAATCTGTTAATAAATGTAGATACTACTGTTCAAATTGGATATGTTGAGTAGGTTTGCTTTATTGTGTGCGATTGGAATGGTGGGGTTAATGGTATAAAGGTATTTCACGTACGAAAGGATGACCGAGGTCTGGAAGTATTTGTATAATTCGTGCAGCGAGTTATGTAAGCCATAAATCTCCGCGGCGTAATGAATGGATGGGCTGGCCGTCTCTTCATTTTCGGATCGGGGAAAATAAAACGAAGCGAAGTGGAAGAAAAGAAGACGTGGAATAAGATGAAGAAAAAGATGATATGTGAGGGCCGAGGAGGGAGGTAGAACTGGAGTGCGTTCGTTAGACGAGGGATTTGACATGGGGCTATGCTATGCTATGTAGGAGGCCTATGCCCGAGGCGAACGCTCGGACTTATCATTACACTTGAGGTCTGCTTCATGCATATACCTATATATATAACATATATATATATACCTATATACATTTGTATGGGTGTGTGTACCCATCGAAACTAGCAATTACTTGCGTGCGGAGTCTGGGAACAAAGTCAGTCCGTTCCACGTGAACAGAGGAAGACCCCGAAATTACATACCTAAGGTTGCCATACCGTGGAGCGACGTTACGCTGCGCCGGTATGGGATAAAGACATGGATGGGTATGAGTACGACTGGGCTGTGCTCTGAGCAAATATATAAGGATTCGCGATTATTCCCGGATTGACGAACCGGAAGCAGCCGGAAACCGCGGACGCAACAACGTCGTTAGCGAGTTACATAATTACGCGCGGCGCCGTAATTTCGGCGGCATTGCGCCGTATAAAGATTATTTGGAGTGCCTTGTTAGCAAGACGATGATGATTATTTGTGCATATTTGGTGTGTGCATACCGTGTGATTTCTTCGAGCAACTTGCACGGATCCGCAGCATAGAACTTCACTCCGAAGTAGAGGGTATAAGGGTCCGCGCCCCTCAGCTGCCGACCTAACTTCTTCGCAGGATCCAGCCAATGCTGAAATACATACACGTTCCATTGTTACTTTACTTAAACACACACACACAGATAAATAAACATGCGATTTTTGTTATTATTGTTCTATCGTATTTGCTTACGGTTTGGCCCTCCTGATCTAAGAAGCGTAATCCGAAGTATGCCGTCTCCAGCAGATTCAGATGCCGGAACGCGACGTCTAATATCCCTTGTCCCGTGCTGTTGTCCTGAAACAAACAAATCCAATATTAAACTATGATCTTCCTCCTTCCGGCGCCACCAGCCATTCTTTCATTAACTTCCACCGAACTTTTATTATATTTACATATCAACTGAATCAATCGAAACAATACTTTCAAAACAAACATCTAAACCCAAACACAATCTCCTGAAAAATTCACAAAATCTCCAATATCTCTTATTTTGATTCACTGTTCATTTAATATAATAGAAAAAATCATTTATCTCATACACATTTATATTTTCAATCTATCTTATTCAAACATCATTTGTATTAGTATCACTAGTTTTAGAACTATTGTTTTTAAAATATTTGAAACTTATTCCTATAAATAATATAATAATTTCTATCCACAATTCTACTATTACTACTATATACAAAATATTGTTAGTAACTTCCAAACTTTAAAACAAGAATCTGGTTACATTAGAACAGCAACATTTGGTTCGCTCCAATTCACCATTTATTGAACCTTGTTTCAAGTATGTTGTTATACTATGATGTAATTATATTGGATTTTTCATCCAATCTTAACTAATGCCGCTATATAAAGAAGATGCAGATCATGAGATCAATGCATCTCGTTTTTGTTTAACAAGTTTTTTAATATATTGGATTTTCATTTCTCATAAAAAATGTTTATTTAATTAAATATTGTCGGGAGTAATTGGAAGTGAATGATCCTCGATGAAAACAATAATAGTCAATTCCCAAGGTTCCCATAATAAAATCTCAATAATAAAGATATTTTAATGAGGCTATAAAGATTATTACAGGTGACACGAATCCAATCCAATCCAATTATACTGTGAAACCGCCGCTAAAGGAATTCGCATAAAAAAGAGGTAAGAAGCAATAAAATAAAACGATTACTTGTTACAAAATATTACGTAAAAATATATAATAAATAATAATAAATCAATAATATCAAATGTTTATGAGCCAAACTATAATATTACTTTTATTATAGATTTTCTATTACAAAAAGTTGATACAAACGAATTAAATTATTTGTGTTTAATATTCTATTAAAAATTGTTAATATTGAAAATGTAAGATTTCTAAGTAAATGTATTATATAATAAATAAACTGTTGTTAGTTTTTGTTCAATAATAATGAATAATTCGAATGAAATAATGGTATTATATAAAAACGAAATTGAATTACTCGAAGATGATCCCTTCGAATAAACTGGTCTCATTATCCACGCCTCGTAAATAATAACAGCGTTGCGTAATTGTGTAATTCGTGTATAAATTTGCAGCATTTTGCGATGTGCTAATGACGCGTTGAAAATTGTGCGAAAATGTCGACCGCTGGGAAAACTTTGCGGGACATTAAGACGCCGAAGATGCAGATGAGCGTAATGACATAATGATGGGATCCGGGATATCGGGATCGGGTCCGATGATCCTGGGATTGCCGTGATCCAAGTAAAAATAGAGAAGAGATTTAATTAAATCGGAATTTATTGCTGATTATTAAATGTCGGATGTTTTTCTCTCTTGTTTTCTTGTTGCCATGGTGGGTGTTAATGGTAATCGACTTTTTGTAACATTCGATTTTCGCGACACACGCGATGACTCACATCGAATAGAATTTATAGTTCTCTCGTGTTCGTTTTAGTTATTCTGTGTGTTTGTTTTTTGTTTGTTTTTGTTTTGTTGTTACCTTCTTCTGGTTGTTCGTTTTCTTTTGTAGTTCTTCAGCTGCTGTGGATATTAGAGCTATTTGCATACACGTATAATTTGTTCTCCTAACAAGATTGACCTTAAATGATGGACACCCGGTAAGGTCGCATACATTACGGTACCATTCGATAAGTCCAGAGCGTGGGTTGCGCTACACATACATCCTTGATCCTTGATATCTCTCTTTCTGTCTCACATGCTCTAGGTGGTATAGCGTTTCGACACCCTCGATCTCGATAAATTTTCCTCGAAAGCAGTCTCTTGAAACTTAGTTAATTAATATTAATGCCATTCTGACCGGATTTGTATCCGAGCGGTGAAGATATCACCCCTCGACTCGAGTCCGTATCTCGAATAATCGACAGTAATGACCCATTGAACTGTCAGTGCCAGGGGATACCTGAATCCACTAATTGAAGATAACTAAATAGCCAGAAAGGCAGCGCCAATAATGAAATCAGCGGGGGTGGAAAACACGAAAATAAACCAACCCTTGAACCAATTACACGTACACATACACACACATATAAGTATATATGTTGTACCTCGAATACACAATACGCACGGACACAATGGAAACACATAAATTACTGGAAACAATGGCCCTCTCTTCCATGCAGGAAGCAAGATTCCAATGATAAAACGCACACAAACATACGTACGTACGCTCTTCACATATCAAATCCAGAATTTCATTAATTCCACAGCGGTAACAAAACCGCTCGATTCTGTGTCAAGAGAACATCTCGAGCCAAACGTGCCGTTTTCGCATTCTTTGCCAGCGAGAAACTGCAAATCCTGCAATTTCATTTTCTTTCACACCGACTCATTTGCATTCCCCGCTGCCGATGCAGGATCGAACTCTCTTTTAAAATGAAAGAAAGAACAAAAAAAAAAAATATATATATGCAAGAAGGAAACAGGTATTCCTCATAAAACATTGTTTACCACACGGTTTCTCTTAGAAAATTATACCAAATCCTAATGCACAACACGGCGCATTCACACAACATGCTTTAATAAATATACTTAAAGTTTTGAGGAAATCCCATGTTCTGTTCAATACAAGATACAACAGTTTTAGTAGATATTTTATAAAAAAAAAATGAAAGTTGTAATTTGTAAAAGTTTTGTTATAAGTTATTTAATATTTATTTCAACGGCTAAATAATAAATATTTAGTCCCAATTAACACGGTTTTATATAAGATTTCTTAATTATCGTGTTATTCGAGGTATAAATAATTGTACAGAACTGTATTTAAACAAAATATGGAGAAACATGTGTATGTTCGTCGAAACGGATTACGAGCGATTAGTAATTCCATTCGTAACCATTTGCAAATATTTAATCGCGATCGATAACCTCAAAACCGCGGCTCTGCATCAATTATTTAAAAGCTCTTAACTGACCACTCAATTATGGATAGAGGATAAAGAGCCTAGCCTTGTGGAACACCTAAAGCAGATTCACACAGCTAGAAGACGAATTACAATTTTTTTTATTTCGTTCGATTCGTTATGAGCATTCAAAATTTGACAAATATATATATATATAAATTCAAATAGCGCGCGCAATTTTGTAATGAAATTCTCCTATTGCATTATCGTCAAATTACCCATCAAAACAAACAAAAGTAAAATTAATTTATAATTATTCATTTCTGATTGTAAAAAATATGAGTTAATGATTTCAATAAAATTGAATGAAGAAACAAAAACTATATACATAAGCAACAGGACTCCTTTGAAGATGACTGCAAAACGTGATTAATCCAAATTTATATTATAATATTGTGTATAAGTTATTCATGGAAATGTAAATAAGCATCGAGGCGTGGCGCTTTCTTGATCTTTCCTTTAAGTTCTCTCTACATCTATGCCCTTGTAGGGAGTAAAACCATAGTGATTTTACTCCTTCCATATATTTACATTAACGTTTCCGATTGTTTCAAAATTCGTGGGCAAATTATTACTGCAGACCACTTTTTTTTTTGCACCATCGCAATTACATGGAAATTTGCATACCCTGGGAGGTGTTCTCACGCCATCGTCTGGCCATACGAAATCGACCCAGAAAAGGAAAAGATCGCAACGAAAATATGTCGGTAATTGCATACCGTTCCGTGATCGGTTATTATTCATAAGGTCAAAGGGCGGGGACACAATGATGCAAACGAAACAAAGAAAATAAGAAAACCGGAAAATCGGAATCTAGATTGGATTGCAACGTTAAAGAATAAAAAGATTCTAGTGTAATAGACAAGCGTAGGTCATTAATAACACGGTGCATAAAGTAAATTATACCTGGATATGAGCATTTTCTCAATAATAATGGCCATTAGAGCGTAAGCAAGTGTTTATTTATTATCCTGTTCGCTTTAACAGATAACTCTAATTGCAACATTTTACATTACAAATCTATACTCTCTCTCGTACGCGCACAATGCTTGCCTTCTCGACCATATTTATCGCCATATTAAATAAACATTCCGGCCATGTTTTATTGAGGCCCTTTTCACTTTGCGAATATAACACGGAAACGCGTAAAATTCTAAGCGGCAAATTTTCATTCCCATTCTCATTACGCTCCTCGGAATCGGCCGACTATAAATCCTCTATTATATTCCGATGCAGAAACTCGAATTCTTATTAAATCCTGTCGAAGGAATCTCAATGCTCGATGTTTCGCACGATATTCCCTCAATGTATATTGAACTCACTTCATCATGAATCTCATTTTATTGAATTAGTTTTTTTTTTATTTACACACAGATAATTCAATAAACAAAGCTGAATATAAAATGTAATTACATTATATTTAGCAATTAAAATTCAGCAATATGTAAATTTGAAGACAAAATTACCTTTAGGTATAAATGATCTCATCATTTCGTTGTTATTTAGGTCAATTGTTCTTTTATATCGATTACGCGATGTGTGTAAAATTCATTAATACAAAGTGCGCGGTTTTCGCGGTTAAACTTTGCTGTAGTGGTCTTTCGCGTCCTGGCAGAATGCTTGTAGACAAAGGATCGTGACAGAGGCGTATGCTTTTTGTGTAATTGCTGAAAGTACACCTTTGGCATACGCGAATTAATTAGACGTAGTGCATGGTGATGGGACTGGGGATTCCCCTCGCGGCGCTCAGTAGGGTTGGTTTGGTTTGTTGCCGGGACGACGTAAGGGTGACGGTGCACGGTGTTATTATCAATTATTATTTTGTGCAGTTTTCATTCGCCTCGTGGCGTTGTTTAATTTCGAGTTTGTTAAGACACAGCGGCGCCTGTCTTTA